ACAAACTGGCACCACTTCTGATCGCCCAAGGTCGGGTCGTCCACGTGTGACGTCACGAGCAGAAGACCGTCAAATCGTCCTACGTCACCTACGTGACAGATTTCTGCCGGCTACACGAACCAGGGCTGAGATGTTTAGAGGTCGACTGTCCTCACAGACCATTCGAAATCGGTTGCGGGCTGCCAATATCCATTCTCGTCGTCCATATCGTGGGCCAATATTGACGCCGTTTCATCAACGTCAACGTCTGCTGTGGGCCCAACGTCACCTCCGTTGGACCCAGAGAGACTGGAATCGAGTCGTCTTTAGCGATGAATCCAGGTTTACCCTTAGATTCGCGGACGGTAGGCATAGAGTCTGGAGACGACGTCGTGAACGGTATGCCCAATGTTGTGTACAGGAAGTCGACAGATTCGGGGGCGGATGTTGCATGGTGTGGGGTGCTTTTTGTGGGAACAACCGTTCCCGACTTCTGGTCATCCGTGGAAACCTCACAGCTGCTACTTACCGCGACCAGGTGCTCAACCCTGAACGCGTTCCTTTCATGGCGGCTCATGGCCCAGGTCTACAGTTCCAGCATGATAATGCTCGGCCGCATACCGCGATGTTGACAGGAAATTTCCTTCAAAACGCTGGAATCAACGTCATGGACTGGTCATCGAGGTCCCCTGACCTTAATCCAAGAGCACGTTTGGGATGCACTTGGGAGACGGCTTCGTGGTCTTAGGAACCAACCTCAGAATTTGCAGGAACTTGGCGCTGCCTTGCAAGAGCAATGGCGCAGAATCCCCAACCATGTGGTCACAAGCATCAGGCAGTCGATGAGGAGACGGTGTTTGGCAGTGGTGAATGCGCGGGGCGGCCATACACGATGTTGAACTGAGAAATTTCGCATTTTTATTCTTGTGACTTGACATTCAGTATACCCATGTTTTGGAACGGCGGTGTAGCCTAATGGAACTGATTATGGCACTGTCAGTGTATCGAGTACATAACACAGATCTCAGCAATGAAATAATAACAATTTAACCATCTTACCATCTCTTGTTCTTGTATAGTGCCCTGAAGAAAGAATGTGAGGTTTCTTTTTTGACTCAGTAGATGTTTTAGGCCATTAAGTGCCTGTCCCAGCTATAACACTTACACAGTATACAGAAAGTAACAATAGATTTACCCCAGCAATTATATAACTCTTAACTTCACCATAGCCACTGTCACTCTAATGACAAGCGCATTGCATTGTCTGCCTTGTCCGTTATCCTTATCATGTAAGTCTCCTTGCCTACAGTTCAACTTTATTTCATCAAGCAGTTGTCAGATACTACCCTTACAAGTCAGAGGTCTTACACATGTTATGCTGAGCGAATAGTTTTTTTGTGGAATGAGTGGCTGTGGACCTCACTTCTATTTATGTATCTATAAGGTCAGTTTGTGTTTTGCTTTTATATGTATGTATTTATATATATGTCTGTATAGTTGTATATGAATTAAATGCCTTAGGTTAATGCATTGATAAGATATATTTCTCTGTTGAACCAACAAATTAACTTGCCATTGTGTGTGTGTTATTGACTAGTAGTTCATAATTAGTAAAGTATATTTAAATGTTCAGATATTCTACCAGCTTTGAAGGTTATATAATTTCTCTTTTAATCCATGGACTTATGTCCTATATTTTAATTGCCATTTTTCCTGGTTGCTCATCATTGTGTAACATTTGTAGAATATCCCGATTGGACACTGCCAACTTAATAAGCTGTCAGCTGTACAGCTCATTATCTCACACAGTGGTATAAGGTCAGCTGTACATATTGTATATATTGACTATATTTCTTGACAATGGTAAGTCAGGTGTACATATTGTATATATTGACTATATACATTGATGTGGTAAGTCTTACATATTGTATATATTGTAATCTTCACGTAAGTCAGGTGTACATATTGTATAATGACTATATTTTGCCACACAGTTTCAGGTGTACATATTGTATAGCTTGACAAATTTGTTGGAGACACTGTTCCCATTTGTATAGTTAATCTTTTCATGTATCTAATTTTATTATTCATGATAATTCATGTGTGATATGGCTGGTTTAATTCATTTATCAGATATTTTAATAGTATTTTTATATAATATTTACAGAGCTGGGAACTGATTAGTAAACTTTGTTTACACAATAAAGAGATTGCTGTCGGCTCACAACCCAGTAGCTGTTCTGCGTTATTCTTCCAACTGGAACCTCGTCCGCTTCTACAATTCTACAGAGTAGATGACGAGAGTGGAGTATCAAGTGTGACGTCAGTAGAGAAGTTTGTTGAATCAGGAGAGATGTTTGTTGCATCTCCAGCAGACTTTGGTTTTGAATTCAGGTTGATATCTTGAGTATCATCACGTTCGATGTCCACTGAACCAGCTGAGTCGATGTCAATTGACGAGCTCATAAAATCTCGCACCACCTTCTCTGTCCCACTCCACGTCTCATTTCGACCCTCTATCAAACCATGGACAATGCGGTTACCTTGCCTGGATTGTGCTTCTGGGTTATCTTGTTCTGTCTCTAAATCAGTTAAATTTGTTTTCTTAAACATGGCATTTTCCAGCATTATCACGTCGGGGACACCAGAAATGGGCTTCACACGTTGTACCAATGTACGGGAATCGAACCATGGCCTTCGACGTGACGAGGGAACGCTTTAACCACTCCAGGTACCCAATCGCCCATTTTTTAGAAGAAAAGCAGTTTTCTTAGTACTGTAAATGTGATAACTAAGATATGGTTTCCAGCTTCTGATGTTTTGTGTAAGATAGGTGAACCTGTTCCTGAAGGCAAATCTAAAGAAAATCTTGAAATTGGATGCTGTTGAGAAGCACAGAGTGTTGGATGTCCTTGCAGTTAGAGATTTGAGTTAATTGAAAGTGTGTTTGCTTGTTTTCAGTCAAACCTTACCGATTGTATGGAGTATTTTAATTCATAGAGCCATAGTCCGAAAGTAAAATCACTGCCCAATGACGTCTTGACTGACTGACTGAGTTTAGTTTTACGCCGCTTTTAGCAATATTAACAGCAACATCACGGCGGGGACAGCAGAAATGGGATGGTAACACACATTATGCCCATGTGGGGATTCGAACCAGGGTCTTCGACGTGACGAGCCAACGCTTTAACCATTAGGCGACCCCACCGCCCCGTGCCCAATGAGAGTCACGGCAGGATGATTTAGTATCAAACTTGGATGTGAGAGATGATTTTACTAATTTGAAAATAAAGGTTGCTTGAAACGATTTATGTCGTTCTTACCTCATCTTAATTGTTCTGTCTGTTCAAGTGAAATTTGCAGTATTTATCTGAAAGTTCATAAATGCTACAAAGGCAGTAATGTACGTTACATTTCATATGTATATATGTTCATGGAATCCTTTTAAGAAACGAACACATTCGAATACTTCATTTTGAAATTATTGCGTAGATTATCGTTTAATTGTTGACTTCTAGAAATGTTCTTGTCTCTAAACATGTATTTTGTGGACATCACATAAACCAAATGATGTAATTTGAAATTACACTGACATAGTTTTGGGCCGAAAAGATATTTGACCTTTGAAGATCTCGACTGGAACTCTTCTTTGATATTCATGACAGTCATTTGTGTTTTTTAACACCAGCATATGCTCCACTACGGCAAGGAAGAAGAAAATATATCTTTAATATCTCTGTTTAATACTAATCTACGTATCTGAGTATCGTTTTCATCGTAACGTACATTATTAAGCTACATTTTTAGAAACTCGAAGCTTTACTTTGAGTCGAAAAATAGTATGTTTAAAACAAAGATTACTTGACAAGTCTTGTTGTATATTATGTACCTAATACTCCACTCTGACATAATCTTATAGTTAATGAATATATAACTTTATTTTTCGGATTTTGATATGGTCAAATGCGCCCATTTATTGAGAATGAGCTGCAGTGTATTATCGCCAAGAAAGCTAATCTTTTAACTAACGCATACACTATTCACTTGGAAAAGTAATTTATTGCCTCTGACATCATATTTTTATCACTGTTTAAGTGAGATTTGAAGTATCCGCTCCCCCACAAAACGCTTCAAAGCTTTATTGAGCCTTAAATGTCCAGTACCAAAGACTCGTAAATGTTCACATTCTTAATAGTGTGATCGGCATACTAAAGAACTGATGCAACCAACAAGAAACCGCACAAAGGAGTGATCTAGAGGATTAACTGTGGCTGTGGTGGCACAAGGAAACCTCCCACATTAAAGAGCACAAAACTTCAACAACCAGAGCAGACAGTGAATCAGTTTTCTCAGACCACCAGCAGAAGTTGGACCGTGCCATCAAATTCAGTTGAACTATAATAGGCTAAAATCCTTCCCACCAAACATCTTCACGAAAAGAAAACTAATGGACACCTTAGAAATCCACCGCCACAAACCTTATAACAACAGAGATCAAGGGTATTATACATACCAATGAAGTAATCTGTTAGGATCCAATCAGCTTGTTTACATGTTAAAGCTTGACGTATAGTGGCATCATGTTATTTGCTATTTGTCATCAATTACCTGTAAATATTGTTATTGTTATAACATATACTATGCACATATACCTCCCCACATTAATTTATCTATATTTACCTGATGACGGTGTAACGATCGACATGGAAACTCGATCTATGCAATAAACAAAGAGTTGCTATCCATAAATTTATAAGTTGTATCCATCGTTATTTCTCATATTCCTGTTAATCAAACACCGTGCATTCATAACACAGCATTGTTAACACGTCGCAACCTGATGTCATTATAGATACGAGATAAAATAAAGGACAAACTATGTAAAAATAAAATATATAGAGTGTCAGTGCTCTTTTGAACGTAAATCTGTGCGTGTGAACAGATTTGATCGGCATTCCTCGGTTTTACTCTCCTCAAGAGAGACAGAAATATATGATCACGTGATCTTTTCTGTTCAAAATGGCGGCAGACACATTGAAGTTTATGCAGACAGCAACTGTGAAAGCGCTTGAACTTTGTTGGAGTTACAAAAAAATTGTCCTCGTGGTTGCTGGTGGTTTGTATCTCAATCACACACATTTCACGTCAATAGATTCTAATGCGGTCCACAGTCCTCTGACGAAAGACTCACTTAGATTTGAATTTCAGTTTTGTTTTCACTATATTGCCGTGTTAGCAATGTACTTTATAGGTTGAAAGGTCTTAACAACTATGTGAAAACGAAACTGAATCAGATGTATATAGTTTCAGAACAAATGATAATTGATTTGTGTGCATGCAGTCAACCCCAGAACTACCCTGCGATGGTATGGGTTATACTCACAGAGCTGTCAACCCCTAAAGATGGTTTGGAGTGAGACTGAAAAAATAAGCCTGGGTCCAGACGGGGTCATGTCGAGGGGCGACGCCCTGGTGGAAGTCTTTGGGGGAATTTGAAGCCCCCGCCCCAAAATGAAGTTTAGTGATTTTCAGGAGCATTTGGAGCCTTCTGATGGCATAATTTTGACACTAAAAGATGCATGCTAATAAAAATAATAATAAGCCGAATCATTCGCATAAACATCGTTTTAGTACTTCGTTCATTCAGGCGTTCTTTTCAATGTTCAACTTTACGCAAAACGAACGAAAATGCGTATTAATTTTGAGATTATTTTTGGCTACCAGATATGCGTGAGATTATTATTATTTGAGGCGTGAGAGCGTGACATTTGTCAATAAAGCGTGAGACTCACGCCAAATGCGTGAGAGTTGACGTATGTACTCATGATACAACTGACTGTAATGATAGCATTAGCAAGGCTGAAGGGGGCGGTGTCGGCACGCGTACCTCAGACTCAGTTCAGATATGTACTCTAGCCAAAATCTGAATACAGAAACGTACCATAGGTCGTTTTTTTTATCGTATCTGTCATACTCTTGTAATAGATGCGTTTGATAGTGTTATACCAAAAACGAGCATTCACAATAACAATTTCGCGATGCGCAATACTGAAAATTGCCCCATTCCAAAACTTTCTAAAATTGGAATTGAAAAGTCCACTTTTGAACAAAACCACACTATATTGTCCAATTTGTCTGTATAGAACAGCTAGAATCCTAGATAAAGTCCTGCAATACAGGGATCCAGATAACTTTTGGGGGTGGGGTGTACTTACACCTCATATTGCAAGTGGAGGTGTGTGGAGAATTTTGAAGGAGTACTGACATTTTTGTGTGAGCGAGTTTGTGATGTGGTTTGTTATTTATAATATTAAACAACTTTTCAGCTATTAAACTTTATATATGTCAGACATACAAAGGTATTTATGTGTGTACATGACACGCTTGAAATCTTATATTATGTCATACTTCATTGATTACATTACGCCTGTACACCCCTTATCTGTAGCCCTGGTAATAGCTTAGGATGTCCAGGGGTTTATGAACATGATGATGTCATTGTTTGAAATTGTAAGCAGCGTTCGAAATACCTGCCTGCCCAACCCCCCGGGACGGGTTATTTTCAATACGGACTGCCAGATTCTCAAATTCACCTGCTCAAGGTCGGGTCAAAATTTAGACATGTATATGAAGATATTTTGTGGGCAGGTAAGTTTGGGTCAGGGCTGGCAAGTTTTCCATCTAACCAGTCTTGTGGTCTGGCTGAAATGTTTGGGAGTTTCATACCCTGTTGTAAGACAGTAAGCATGTTAAGGTGATTGTGAATCAGTTCTTATGATAAAGTGTTGTACCAGTTCATTGAATTCCAGACTTCTTTATGTACTGGTTTTGATAAAAATACACGTGACAAACTTCCAGTTTCTTTTCCTTTTTCAGGTGTCAGCTATTATGCACTGAGGAGATACTTTGGAGGTGGTGTTTGCCACAGTAGAGCTCGTCTTGATGGGAAAACCGTTTTGATCACTGGGGCTAATTGTGGCATTGGGAAAGAGACAGCAAGGGACCTGGCTGGAAGAGGTAACTAAGCTGATGGGTCAGGAGGTGAAACTGAGCATGTAGTCTTCTTGTGAGTGAGTGAGTGAGTGAGTGAGTGAGTGACTTTAGTTTTACGCTGCTTTTAGCAATATTCCAGCAATATCACGGCGGGAGACACCAGAAATGGGCTTCACATATTGTACCCATGTGCCATGTGGTGAATGAAACCTGGGTTTTCTTGTGATGAGAGAATGCACTAGGCTATCCTACCTAGCTCATCTTTTAGGGGTGACTATTCAGGGGCGTAGGAACGGTTTTCAGAGTTGGGGGGCTAATTTATGAAAAGTATTGAAAATCAAAATGCATGAAATTGTAGTTATGGTAAGGTAGATATGGTTTCGTCTTGAAAAAAGTGGGGCGGCTAAGCCCCCCCCTGTTCCTGCTATTGACCAACTGCAATAGTGGTAGTCTATTGGAACATACTTTTTGCGATAGTGATTGTCTACTGGGACCAACTATTGCAGTAGTATTGCAATAGTGTTTTCTCTCCTTGAATTGTCTCAGTTGAAGTCATTTCCCAAATGAATGTAGCCTATAGTTTATATGAAATAAAAACAAACTGAAGTAGTTTCAGTCTCTTTTAACAACTGACAAGAAACTTGAAATACAGATCAAGTTTGTTTAAGAGGTAACAGGGATGGAGAACTCTAAATCAAAGGGAATGAATCTGGTACTTACGGTATTTTGCGCTGCACATTTATCAATGGAAGTCAATTACTAAACTATCGATAGCCATGCATACTATCCATGCATCGATAGTTTTTGTTTCTACCATTGATAATTGCTATCAGAGGCTCAACAATTGCAATCCATCGATAGTTCGATGCATTGTTACACCCCCTACAAATGTGTATATATTGACACTGAGAAGAGCATTTGTCAATATAACTAAAATAATATTTTCACTGAAAAAATAAAACATTTTTATGAACAATAATCATCATATGAATACCTAATGCCATTTAGAAAGTAGTCAAATGTAACATATTTTATATTTGGGTTTACAGTCACTGTAAAGTACAGATCCTCATACTTTTGTTGGGTCGAGTCTCGTCTTTGATTATGCTTGTTGTAAGAGGCAGGTCAGGTTTGCTGACTTGGTTGACACTAGGGCTGGGACGGGTCGGCAAAAGGGGAATCGAGTACCCGCATGTACTTACCCGAATCGGAATCGAGTACCCGGAAATGTAAGGAATACAGCGCTTCTGTCAACTGTCTGAATATCCAATGACGATTTGACAGAAATTATTATAGAAAACCTGAAAGGATGGCAATAAGACGTTGAAATTGATCTTAGACTATTTAATTTACGTCTGTTTAACTAATATAAAGAGTAACACCATTATTTACATTCCCGCTTTGACTGTGACTTGACAACTCACTGCTCATGTGCAGATAAATTGCAGTCGATTAATAATAACCTTCATTAAACGGACAATACCAAAGATGTAAATGTGTGTTACGTCAATGAGAAAGACAGGTTATTTTGTCAACCAGTAGACAACTACCTTCAGATGTGATATTCTAACTGAACCTATAATGTTTTACATGTAGACTTTATGTAAACTTACATAGAATAAAATTTGATTGATGTATTTACTGACAGGAGAATTCTATACAAGATATACAGACCAGCAAACTGTAATGCAACTGAGTTAAGCAACATAGCAAAATGCTTCGCTTGCATGAGGGAAGACTGGTCATTTTGCTCTGTTGCGCAACTCAGTTGCATTACAGTTAGTCTATTATACAGTACAGACTAATACAGGGCCGTGAATTACTGATGAAATTTTTGTAGTGAGTTAACTTTTATTCTTCCAGAAGATTATTAAACGTCGCATTGAAATACTTTTGTTTGAATGTAGGGATAAAGAAATATATCTAAATGCTATATTTTCACGTTTAAATAAAAAACATTAAATATTCTAAATTTGTATATATTAAGTGAACATTGTGTATATTCATTGGAATAACTGTATGCTGATATTATTTGTTAAACTATAAAATGTATAGTAACTGAATGGTATTATATGTGATCAAAGTGAATTGTGCTTCTATATATTTCTGATCACCTTTCATCTTATTGTCATGATAATCAGTCGAACATTGTATTTGCAAATCAGAATGTGCTCTTTCAATAAACGTTCGCTTTAATATGTTAATTCCCAACACATACAATCAATTAATTACAATCTCTATATAGTGGATGTATTCAGCCTTGACACAGAAGTAAAAGATGTGTTCATAAAATTGAAATGAAATATAACCTAAAGACAAAATTCAATGTATTCTTAACAGCTTTTAATGAACTAACTTAATAAGCAATTAGAGTTACACAATGTAATGAACACCTTCATGTTTTACGTTGTGTTTTAGAGCAAGATGTTTCTTCATTGAACTTGTACTGCTTCCACATGAGTCGGCATTTGGTTCTCTTGCCATCTGCATCAAGCTCAAAATGAGCCCAAACACACTTAGCATGTGTGTCGTCCATTTTGTTCTTGGTTTGAGTTACATGCCCTTGACATTACAGAGTTCTCACCCTTTCCGGGTACTCGATTCCTTGAAATAGGACTCGATTCCAGCTGTACCCGATCCGGATTTGAGTACCCGAGTATCCGTCCCTGCCCTAGTTGACACATGTCATCGTATCCCAATTGTGTAGATCGGTGCTCATGCTGTTGATCACTGGATTGTCTGGTCCAGACTCGATTATTTACAGACCGCCACCATATAGCTGGAATATTGCTGAGTGCGGCGTAATACTAAACTCACTCACTCACTCACTCGTCTTTGATTAGAACCCTAACTCTCAGAGTCAGGCACCTAATCATCAGGTCACAAAGTCAGCGATTTAAAACACTCAGCCACCTTAGCTTACAGAAGATATGAAGTTGGTCTAGATCACATTTACCCCTGTGACAAGTGTAAATTGGCACGTCTCACATGGCCAAAGGCTATGAATACAAAATGAACATTTTTAGAACCTTTCAAAATGCCAAGATACAGTGCTACTTATTTAACAAACTGAAACGTTTCATCATTTGCTTCTTGATTTCTTCAAACAAAATTCTTCGGAATGAATACCATTTATTGAAGCCAGATCTGTCTTACCGTCAGGAAGGAATGTCAGCTGTGGAATATAAGTGTCATCATTCTGTGTCATCATTCAGTGGACACACTTTCAGATACTATTGGTACACTGTTCGAAAGTAATGTCCCTCTTTTGAGTTATTTTGTGACTGAAAAACTGCAAATTAAATGGTTTCTTCTTCTTTTCCCCAGTATGCCTGTAGTATTGAATATCTATTTGGACCTTGATTGTGATCTCAACCACTATGCTCAACATGATGCAGGAACATTGATGCTGATGTAGTCTAAACCAACTCCTGTCTCTTGATCTGTTGGCATCCATGCTGGATATTTATGTTGGCAGGCTTTTGGAATATATGAGTTACTGGTCATAAAAACATTCACACATTATTTATAGAAGGCTGAGCAAGATATTAAACACCATTCACTCACTCATTCTTGACTAAACATGTTACCTAAAGAGGATTCTGGATTAGAATAGGTTCCCAATAACCTATGCTTGTTACAGGCGAAAAAATGAATTTTATGGTTGAATTGGTGACTTGGTCAATTGGATGACCTTTGTACCATGATAGAGTGGGTCATTGCTGACAATATCAATCCCTTGATGATGATGATGATGATGCTTGAATGTGTCCTCTGCTCAGAGGCCATTATTTGTACCCAAATTTGCTTCAAATTAAGGAAAATCATAAACAGTCAAATTTTGAACATTATTGCAATATTTTTCCCAATTTGCTAGTCAAAGGCACAAAATTTTAAAACCGAGATAAATCCCTGGTGGATTGCATCGTCTGTTTGTTTACAGACCACCTTCATATAGCTGTAGTATTACTGAGCTGAGTGCTATGCTAAACAACTAAACAACATCTGGTCATGTACTGACACTGTTTCTGAGCTGAGTGCTATGCTAAACAACTAAACAACATCTGGTCATGTACTGACACTGTTTCTGAGCTGAGTGCTATGCTAAACAGCTAAACAACATCTGGTCATGTACTGACACTGTTTCTGAGCTGAGTGCTATGCTGAACAACTAAACAACATCTGGTCATGTACTGACACAGTGTTTCTGAGCTGAGTGCTATGCTAAACAGCTAAACAACATCTGGTCATGTACTGACACTGTTTCTGAGCTGAGTGCTATGCTAAACAACTAAACAACATCTGGTCATGTACTGACACTGTTTCTGAGCTGAGTGCTATGCTGAACAACTAAACAACATCTGGTCATGTACTGACACTGTTTCTGAGCTGAGTGCTATGCTAAACAGCTAAACAACATCTGGTCATGTACTGACACTGTTTCTGAGCTGAGTGCTATGCTAAACAGCTAAACAACATCTGGTCGTATTACTGAGCTGTTGTTTGAGTGCTATGCTAAACAGCTAAACAACATCTGGTCATGTACTGACACTGTTTCTGAGCTGAGTGCTATGCTAAACAGCTAAACAACATCTGGTCATGTACTGACACTGTTTCTGAGCTGAGTGCTATGCTAAACAACTAAACAACATCTGGTCATGTACTGACACTGTTTCTGAGCTGAGTGCTATGCTAAACAACTAAACAACATCTGGTCATGTACTGACACTGTTTCTGAGCTGAATGCTATGCTAAACAACTAAACAACATCTGGTCATGCACTGACACTGTTTTCTGAGCTGAGTGCTATGCTGAACAACTAAAACAATATCTGGTCATGTACTGACGACTGTTTCTGAGCTGAGTGCTATGCTAAACAACTAAACAACATCTGGTCATGTACTGACACTGTTTCTGAGCTGAGTGCAATGCTAAACAAGCTAAACAACATCTGGTCATGTACTGACACTGTTTCTGAGCAGAGTGCAATGCTAAACAACTAAACAACATCTGGTCATGTACTGACACTGTTACTGAGCTGAGTGCTATGCTAAACAGCTAAACAACATCTGGTCATGTACTGACACTGTTTCTGAGCTGAGTGCTATGCTAAACAGCTAAACAACATCTGGTCATGTACTGACACTGTTTCTGAGCTGAGTGCTATGCTAAACAACTAAACAACATCTGGTCATGTACTGACACTGTTTCTGAGCTGAGTGCTATGCTAAACAGCTAAACAACATCTGGTCATGTACTGACACTGTTTCTGAGCTGAGTGCTATGCTAAACAGCTAAACAACATCTGGTCATGTACTGACACTGTTTCTGAGCTGAGTGCTATGCTAAACAGCTAAACAACATCTGGTCATGTACTGACACTGTTTCTGAGCTGAGTGCTATGCTAAACAGCTAAACAACATCTGGTCATGTACTGACACTGTTTCTGAGCTGAGTGCTATGCTAAACAGCTAAACAACATCTGGTCATGTACTGACACTGTTTCTGAGCTGAGTGCTATGCTAAACAGCTAAACAACATCTGGTCATGTACTGACACTGTTTCTGAGCTGAGTGCTATGCTAAACAGCTAAACAACATCTGGTCATGTACTGACACTGTTTCTGAGCTGAGTGCTATGCTAAACAGCTAAACAACATCTGGTCATGTACTGACACTGTTTCTGAGCTGAGTGCTATGCTAAACAGCTAAACAACATCTGGTCATGTACTGACACTGTTTCTGAGCTGAGTGCTATGCTAAACAGCTAAACAACATCTGGTCATGTACTGTTTCAGGTGCTAGAGTCATCATGGCATGTAGAGATGTGACAAAGGCTGAGAGAGCAGCAGAGGACATCAGGAAGAGCACCGGCAATCCAGGAGTCATTGTCAGGATTGTCGATCTTGCATCTCTCGAGTCAGTCAGGAAGTTAGCTCGAGAAATTGTAGAAAAGGAGGAGAGGCTTGATATTTTGATCAACAATGCAGGTAAGACATTTCTGATGCAAGATAAAACTATTCCAGTGTTGTGGTGATAGTTGTTTGATGTTGAGCTCAACTGGTCATACTCATAGCTGAAATTTTACAAGTTATATAAGTTGTGCAGATGTACCGTTGATGTGAATTGTTGATGTGAACATATTTGATAATATTTGTTAGACAATGTCTCTTCTAAACAAAAATTCAGGTTTGGTGTAAGCCTGTATGAGGTTTGTCAAACAAAATTATTTGATAAGTTTTGCATGATTGTGTAAACCTGATAAAATGATAAAATACTTCCCCTTACATGACTGGTCAAGTATATTAACAAGTAAATTTGGTCAGTGATATAATGTTTATATACCATGTGTCTGTCAACATTATGATTGTATCTAGGTTACCTCTATTCAGCACTTTTGTGTCCAGAAACCATTTTATCCTGGTTGTTTATCCCATATATGTGACACAGAGAGCACTTGATCATGTGGGACGTGTGTACCAAGGGAAGTAATGACGGGACAATCCTGGAACATACCACCACAGCATCTCTAACATGCACAAGACTCATTTCTCTTCAGATCCATGTTTCAAACAAATATTGGTTGTCCTTGCATGTAATCTGCTCATTTCCAAAGAGAATTTAGGAACAGATGGCTTATCTCCCCTTGGGGATTCCAGAATATACCCCTTGCAGTATGACTGCACAGCATTACTGGTATATCCACAATATTGCTTTTCAACGATTCGTATTGCAGCATTTTTTAAGAATATATATTGGGAAAAAAATTATGAGACATTTTATGATTATCTGTATCATTTAAGTTCATTCACAATGGGCTTTCATTCATAACTGATGCTTTGTAATTAATTAACAAAATGTCATTCTTTACATGCTATAAATTGTACAAAAAGAAAATAAATAAAAAAACATATTTTTTACCTTTAAGGGCTTTCGTATGTAGAAAATTTGATCTGCAGGTACAATCGATGTCACTCACTGTCAAACACTCTGGCTACCAATCTATCACAATCTGTATCACAATATGGGTACCTGAATCACAATATATTGAAATACAGTATGTTTGCCAATACACAGACCTACCCTGTTGTGTTGAGAATTAGTTGGTAATCATGATTGACGATCACAATACACCAACCGATCAATCATCAAAATGAATTAGTGTAATTTTCCTTGTTACTTTTGGAACAATTTGGTCATACCCTTTTAAAAAAAAAAGACACTCTTTTTCTTTCCTTTGTTTCCCTTCTCTCCAATCAGTAAGTGTTTATTAACCATCTGGGTAAAGAAAACTATGTCAGGGTTGAGATGGACTCGTAATTTTTGTGTTTGTGGCAGTCATTCTAGTAGATGAGAGTCAGCAGGTCTGTACATGCTGTCATGCCCTGCTTAACCCCAAATTGATTATCTACCACCATGGTATAACAAAATATGTTGCTGTCAGTGGAGTAACCTATCCTCACCTCCCTCAGGAGTGATGTTCTGCCCTTACTGGAAGTCTCAGGAAGGCTTTGAGATGCAGTTTGCTGTCAACCATCTCAGTCACTTCTTACTCACCAATCTTCTCCTTGATCTCCTGAAGAAGTCAGCTCCAAGTCGCATTATTTGCGTGTCATCTCTAGCACACAGACGTAAGATTTCACTGTTTCTGAATGTTTCACATAAGCAATGGAAGCTGATAACCTTGTGGTACAGAGTTGTCTGATGAAAACTCCTGTTGGATTCTCAATCTGAGAACAAGGTCCTATCTGAAGTCCTATTCTGGTGTCACCAGTCTTGATATTGCCATGTCAGTAGAAATACATATTCTAATTCACTCATTGAAAGTTGCATGATGTATTTAGTAATATATTCACCATGTTCACCGTAACAACTTGTGATGATAGCTTCTTATGAAAACCAGACACATTTTAATTTGTTTTACAGAAATTGTTTTTAGTTAACAAACTTAGTTCAGACATTGATGAAATCAAAACATTTTTGGAAAAATTGTTATAAGGCAATTATATTCCATTTCCTTGATGCTAATTCTGATAACCAAATCTGTCATATATTACAGAAAAAGTAGACTGTTATATAAATTTTCAGTCTCCTTTGCTGATATTAGAAGATAATTTACGGTTGATCTGAAATTAGGCCAGGGGGCCTTATTGGATCACTGGGTTGTTGATACAGTAAAGTCAGTTTCAGAAATTGATGCCAGGTTTGTTTTGAAAGGGATATTTTGAAACCTGACAAGAATAACTGTTAGAAATATTTGCATGTCCGTACTGTGAAGTACTTATAGTAAACTGTGCCTGTTGTCACCCAACAGGAGGCAGGATCAACTTTGACGACATCAACATGGAGAAGCAGTATGACTCACTGATGGCATATGGCCAGAGCAAGCTGGCTAATGTCCTATTTGCTAGAGAACTGTCTGTGAGACTACAAGGTAACAAATGCATATGATGGGTTAGAGCAAGAGACCCACTTACTGTGGTCAACTTTGTATATACCTGGCAGAGTTATCTCCCCTGAAACTGATTTTTGTTTTTCCATGTAAATTACTGATTATTGAAATTTGTAATGGTTATAGAATTACCCACTGATAAATCAAATTACCTTTGACAAATTTGTGGCTAGGAAGGATTATACTGAATGTCTATAAAGAGTCAACATTGTGAAACATACAGATTATACCATTAGTATGTTTGGGATTGTTCATATCCTACACCAAGAGTACAATCTCAGCAATATATTGTTTCTGATGTATTGGTGAGCTTGACATTGTTAGTATTTGAATCATTTTCTGGATATGACCTTAGTGTATACTGAAAATATACAAGCGCTTTATCTTACCCAAAAATAAATTGTGGTGACAATAACTTTTAAGCAGCCCCATGTAAAGATGGTCACTTGGAGTTTTGTCCAAAATTGTCTGCTGCCCCAACAACACATTGCTTTGAGACCACAATTTTTTGACAAACCAGACTTGTGATATCATATCATGCATTTTTATTTAATAGCTCTGGTAAATATTTTTGGCATATTGATCTGTAATGTGATTGGTGATGGGTCAAAGTGCATATGACTTTCCGCAGTTGTACTGCGTTGAGTACACATTATTCTCACCTTTAACTGGAAGGAGTTATAACATTGTTATCGAGGTAGCTCAAGGCATGTACCATACTTCACCAGACCAGAATGGATGCAGTTGATATGGAGCTTAACTCCAAACTAGAAGAAAAGGGTATAAATTGTCCTGCACCACACAACATCAGGGATCAACCTATGTGAATTAATATTGATGTCAGTGTCAGAGTTTGTGCTGTCAGAATGGTCCAAGATACGTATTTCTCCAGGAAGTTGTGGGGCATTCAGGAAAGGGTGAGGGGTGGGTCTACTTCTGGATTTAGTTTCGAGTTTGTTCATGTTGTCAGAGGTTCTCGATACAGTTGACTGTACTGTGCAATTATAGCACTGAAATTGTATTTTTTAGAAAATCAGATTAAGACTTTTGCTTTCATGAACCACTATTTATAGTCCACAATCCAACACCTGTACAACATCACATGGTTATCTTAGAGTTGTAAGTTGTTTTAATTGAATTTCACACAAGTTCATGTGTGTACACCTTAGGCATGTCATATTGGTCAGACTTGGTTGGTGCATGATGATGTAATCAACTGTGTAGATCAATTCTCATGGTTTTAATGACATCATTTTCTGGATGCTATTATTAAGCTGGCCAAACAAACAAATGTGAGTCATCTAACTGAAGTTCATTACAATGTGTGACCTGATTGTTTGTCACCTTACCCAGTTGATCGCTCACACACTCACTCACTCACTCCTCACTCACTCCTCACTCACTCACTCACTCACTCACTCACTCACTCACTCACTCACTCACTCACTCACTCACTCACTCACTCACTCCTCACTCACTCACTCACTCACTCACTCACTCACTCACTCACTCACTCATTTTCCCAGGCACTGGGGTTACTGCCAACTCACTTCATCCTGGTGTGGTCAAGACAGAGCTTGGCCGCCATCTCTCACAGATGGGTGTGTCATGGTTCAAACAGACACTGTTCAAAGTCGCATCTCTCATCTTCATCAAAACTCCAGTTCAGGGTGCCCAGACTACAATATTCTGTGCAGTGGATGAAAGCTTAAATGATGTCTCAGGAAAATACTTCAGGTAGGCATATGAATTATCAAGAATTGCTAGATTTGACGAACATGGTTGGCATTGACAACAGATAGTCTGTCCTTCCTCGTCAGTTGTATATTATTATCCCCCACCACGAAGTGGGAGGGGCATATAGGTTTGAGCTCTGTCCATACGCACCAGATGATGGGGACAGATTTTCTCAAAAACTGTCATAGATAGGGAAACCAAATTTGGTATGTGTTTTCAGAACATGAATGCCTTGATGGGGTTTGAAAAAGAAAACCGTGTTATGATTCTTGACAGAGTTATTGCCCTTGTCATGCGTTCTTTGACTTAGTGCACGTTATCCCCAATGGTGTCAGATTTCCTCAGTAACCGTTATAGATGGGGAAACCAAATGTGGTATGTGTTTTCAGGACATGAATGTCGTGGTGGAGTTAAGAAACAGGAAGCAAATAGGAATAGAACACTGTGGTGGGGATATTGATGGCCATGTGTTCATGTGGAGACTCCATGCCAGTAAACGTGTTGTAGCCCACTGAAGCTTGTTAACCATATGGCATATATGCCATTGGTTATTTCTGTTTTACAGAGAAGGTTACAAAAGTGATTTAGGAAGATAACTAATGTCTCAGCCTTGTTTCTTTTGATAGCAAATACACCACCACAAGTTGATAAAAGTTTTAGAATCTGTGCCAGTTCTTAGTTTTAGACATATATAACTCATGTTGATATATATGTGATATTTGAAGACACTCTGATGTGGTGTTTGCATATCTAAGATGACAAAAGCTAGTGGCAGCACCACAGCATCTTTTAAACTACAACATCACTGCATCTCTTCAGACGTTTCTCCCACATCAACATGATGCAGCTCACAGGAGTCATATAACTGTTTAACATACAATCCTCCTTCATTTGCAAAGTTCTCTAATCATCTGTATAATGTTCCAAAAACCAAGCAGAGAAATTATATAAGAGATGAGCAAACATCATCGATATGCTTTCAAGATCACCAACTACCAAATTGTACCTGAAACAGAAGCAGACAGGAACTAATTGTTGACTCCTTGCAACATTACCCAGTGTATGACCATAGGTTTGCTTTGTCTACAGTGATTGTGCAGAGAAGGCCTCGGCTTCACAAGCTAAAGATGACGAGGCAGCAAAACGGCTCTGGGATGTCAGCTGCAAGATGGTGAATTTACCGTCATAGGGCATCAAGAAGCTTTCCTATCATGATGCAGAAAACAGGACGGGTTTTGATATATTATAATATGATAGTACATATATCTTATTCTTATTCTGTCTGTCTGTCTGACATATATCTGATTGACAGTATGTCATGTGATCACTCTGCACTGACTTGGTGTGGTTGACAGTATGTCATGTGATCACTCTGCACTGACTTGGTGTGGTTGACAGTATGTCATGTGATCACTCTGCACTGACTTGGTGTGGTTGACAGTATGTCATGTGATCACTCTGCACTGACTTGGTGTGGTTGACAGTATGTCATGTGATCACTCTGCACTGACTTGGTGTGGTTGACAGTATGTCATGTGATCACTCTGCACTGACTTGGTGTGGTTGACAGTATGTCATGTGATCACTCTGCACTGACTTGGTGTGGTTGACAGTATGTCATGTGATCACTCTGCACTGACTTGGTGTGGTTGACAGTATAGAACAGGATTGCTATGCTCTGTGACAGAGTTGGGCATATAGTTATAATTGTGATGAGCTCAGGGGAGAACATACTAATTAGTTTTAGATCAACTTCCACAACGGAAGGATGTGTGTAAAGTTAAGCATTCTTTTAATTCTTGAACGGTTTGTTAACAAGTTATGTTTGGAGCAGTTACTTTATCACAGGAGGCTAAAATCTCTTTGCCAATGAAAAGCCCTTATTAGAGGAGGCTAAAATCTCTTTGCCAATGAAAAGCCCTTATTAGAGGAGGCTAAAATCTCTTTGCCAATTAAAAGCCCTTATTAGAGGAGGCTAAAATCTCATTGCCAATTAAAAGCCCTTATTAGAGGAGGCTAAAATCTCTTTGCCAATTAAAAGCCCTTATTAGAGGAGGCTAAAATCTCTTTGCCAATTAAAAGCCCTTATTAGAGGAGGCTAAAATCTCTTTGCCAATTAAAAGCCCTTATTAGAGGAGGCTAAAATCTCTTTGCCAACGAAAAGCCCTTCCCAGTGCTACTCTAATCTTGTATGGTTCAGTAATTTTGTTTGACATACCAATTCTATATGTTTTTAAACTTACCCTATCTCACGGTATGCACCTCTCTTCTTCTACGACCATGTGTGGAAACGTGCTGTAGGCTCAGTTGAATCTAAACTTCCTGACCTCTGACCACCTGACCTCTGACCCCACTCAGATAGCAGTACCTGTCAATCATCTTCATGTTTGTGTCCTGTTAGGAAATGTGCACAGACATTGAAATTCTTATCTCTAATCTGCAAGTTCGAAAAGTAAACTTACTTTTTGAAATATGCTGGAGCATGCCACATGGTCAAAGAGTGGCTTTCATCAACGACTGCTGATTTTAGTTTTGTATAGAGAATATTTGTAATGACAATCAGGAACGATAATTTCATTGACCTCCATGCTGCTGGTTTTACGTAGCTTTATATCTCAGTATCAGTTTGTTATAGCTTAGACAGATTTTACAGTGCTGAAGTGGTGTGTGTGCGTGCATGCGTGCGTGCGAGTGTGTGTCGTAAAGGTAGGTGTTGTGGCCTGGCGCACGCACAGTCAACCATTTTTGCTATGTAATAAAGTATAGAATATAGTTTATGTGCTTTCTCTGTTTAAGCATTTTCAGTTGCTTTGTCTGTGTCAAATTATTTATTTATTATGCATTTTATTTCATATCTTTGCTGTATTGGTTTAAATGGTTTTTATTGCTGATGTTTTGGAATGAAATATTTGTAAACTAGTTGAAAATGACTTATCTCCCTTTGACTCCCTTATTTTGCCATTGTAATTGCACTATCCTTGATCCAGAGTGTTCAGGACATATGTTTGACTTGTAGATAGCGTTTAGTCTACTGCCTACATAGGGAATGTTTTCCACAAGACAAATACTACATATAGCCCTATTTTGCCAAGCTGACCAGTGAAACTGACTAAATAATTTTGCTTCATATTTTTTTTCTAAAATGTATCAAATAACAAATTGATCACTGTGACCATGGTCAGAAATAAAAAAACACACCTGTTTTCACAATATGCCTATGATATCATAAAGTCCATAAAGGGTCTACACACACTGGACCCACAGTGGGAGTTGAAAGTTGAACCTTCAGTACCAGAGGCTAATGCCTTTCCCACTAAGTTGCCAACACCTTCAGTTTCCTTTAAGTAGGGGTCTTTAGACATGGTTTAATGTTACTTGCAGATGCTCATGTTGTATGGTATAAAATTGTCATCACTTACTCTTATAAACTGTTTTGATACACATCTCCACATTATATAGGTTAGTTTTGACTTTCCAAGTTTGTACTGGATAAGTACATGCTTTATGATGGTTCATCATTTACGATGCTCCATTATCAGCAATGGACTTGTTTTGTTTTGACTTTCATTGTTTCACACTTTTGTATACTTTGTTAATGTTTTGCAGAGGTTTGTTAAAGAATACAGAAAACATTTTTGGCAACCATTTACTGAGACTGAAGGTCATGGTGATGGATATTTATATGTTTATTAAAGATGTCTTTAAGGGGAACTAGACCCTTGGGACTTTGCTTCATAGTTGTGGTTCATAGGTTGTGTGTTTTCTCAAACCAGAAGTGATTGCTGCATATACTCATGGAAACAAATAAGGGAACATATGAAAGTATAAGTGTTCCTTTATTCTTTTCAATATTTCATCACAAGGTATGTAGTGCACTGTGAGAGAAATTCTGGAAATTAATAAAGGAACACTTGTACTTTCATATGTTCCTTTATTTGTTCCCATGAGTATATATGGTCGATTCCAATGAAAAGTGTACAAAGCTGGGTACAAGGTGTCCAAAATAGAATTTCTTGCACCTTGTAATTCTTTTTACCAATGTAAAGTCAACATATTTGCCTCTTATGAAAATCAGTTGCCATCACTAATCTCTAAAAGTGACAAGTTGGTGGATCAGTGAAGTTGAAGGCTCATTTTCTAAATTACCTACAAATACCAACATCATACCTTGTATATCCTGTGATTAGATGGATTGTGTGTTGCCTAACATCCAAATTCACTGTTGTTCTGCATGCACAATATGTTAAAGGCTATAGAAACCCTGAAACCATATCACAGTTTCTTTCATGTTTTATAACCTCTTATTTTATTTACCAAATGTTTCAACTGACATTTGTATTCAAAGGAAGCACATCACAAATGTTCAAAACGCTGGAACTATTACCATATACTATATAAAACTATGTACAGATACACATGTCACTAAAACAATCAATACATGATACGTCTTACTGAACTATACATCTGCTTTAATTACCCATATTTTGCAATGACAATTGCTATTAGATAGACATTTACAGAAAGTTTTAACTACAAAAACGTGTCACCTACGAATAAGACATACCTTTGACAAATCTAATTACTAAACCCATGCAACTTACTTCTACTACAGTCTCAATTCTCCTATGTTGGCAAGTGCATCGGGGACAGCCCTGAATAAGACATACAACTCCAACACACTGACTGATGTTACCAACAAATTCGGAATGTTTCCAACGAATACACATGTTACCTACGAATCTACCGTTTATCCCGTGATATCATGCAAACTTTGATTTTTTTCACCAAGATCAACTTGTTTTCTGACATTTCAATCAAAAAGAAGTTATTTTATATCACTATAATAAAGTCTAAAACACGAACTCCGGTGCATCCCTGAGTAGAACAATCTTATTGAACGCTCAGTTATGTAGCCATTTGGAATTCCAAGGAACCATTTCAATCTATTAATAGGCAGTACTGCGTACCTAATCAGTTTTATGATCTGCAATAATTGTCTTCAGTATAAATTATGTAATAGCAGCGTATTGAGTTCTCTATTTCATTTTGTTAACAACGAATACATGTTATCTACAAATGCCGTGAGCCACAAATCCCAGTGGGACACCATGTCTTACCAATTTGAGCCCCCATGTCAATTCCACTTGCAGTCTGAGGCCTTTTTTACGATAATAAGACTTAAAACCTCACTAAAATTAAACTTGGTTAGTTGTAACAGGTGTCATATGCATTCTATGTTATTGTGACATGGGTTTATTTATATAACAATCTTGCAGAAAATGTAAAATACACTTACTAATCACTAATATGTTGTCTGGTCTCATCTGTGATGACTTCCAAATGGAACACATGTCACGTGTTGTCATTCCACCAATCTATTTGAATGTGATCAGTTGTTGGTACTTGTAGGTAATATTTGGGAGTTAAAATTTACTTTCGAGTACAGGTTATTTTGTGTGATATCTTCGTAAAAACAGCACAGAAAATGTTCAGATGTAGCACACGTATATACTGTGGCCCTTTGCACTTGAGCTTAGGATATCATTCACGAATGTGTTGATCTGTGGAAACAGCAACATATTTAATGGTATTTGTAGGTTACATGATTTTGTTTTACCAAATCAGTCTTTGAGTTTCTAACATTTTTTCAGATTATTACCTGTAAGAAATATTATGTAACGCCATTGCATTCGAGTACTTTACATATTAATGCTGTAAAAAGTAATACAAAACATAACCTTGTGTTGCATTTACAAAAAATTGACAGAGTCATTGAAAACTGTATTCGTAGGTAACGCCCAAAAATACCACTTGAAAACAAATTACCAAAATTACGAATTAAGCCCTAGACAAAATCATTTCAGGGGATTTATTCATGAAATATTTGGCCATCAGATTAATAAACTTCTGTTCATCCAGTTTAAAAGTATTTAACACACAACATGTTTTCAACAAAACATTTGTAAAATGAAAGTCAAAATGAATAAATATGGCCTGTTTTTGTCTCCCTTAAGCCTAATTTTTAATTAAAAATAGTCATGTTACGTATGGCCCGAATCGTCTCACTTGTGCCGATGTGATGGGCACCCTGAACTAAATGAAGGTAGTAATGCTAAAATGTTATGGGCCCAAACATGTGTACACTTTTTGTTGGAATCGACCATATGTTAATTTTTTTATTACTCTTTCTCAGTGAAGTACAGATTATAGTACTTCAGAGGGGATGGTGGGGGCAGGCGCACAGATTCATTGCTCTAACCTACTCAGCTGGAAAATGTTTACAACCACTGTCACATTGGGCTTTCTTGAAAAAGTGATCTAACACTATGTGGTTCGTTCCCATTATGACTACTAAAACAGACAAGGGTAACATAAGCCTACCTGTTGAATAGTGGACTATTCCAAACCTCATTTTTACCCTGCCCAGTGTATGCAAGAATGATGTCTAATGAGAGACCATGTTATTTTCGATGTCTTCTTTTCTACAATTTCACAACAGATACTTAACAGTAACAGGATATTCACAAAAGCAATGGAAATGTTAGTGGAATATGTGGCAAAAGGTCTGTTGTGAATACACAATGCCATTTAAATATGGCCAGATGCAACAAATGTTATATTTAGAATTACACTCATTTACTCTAAGTAGCCTACAGATCCTAGGATCCTAGAACTTTTGTTAGGTTGAGTCCCATCCGCAAATCGAACTCACTCTCAGTCAGGCAACTCATCGCGATTTGGACAACTGGTAGTGCAGTTGTTTACCCTACTGTCAAGTGTAATTTGGCACGGCTCCCATTGCCGAAATTATGAATACACAATGCTCTTTAGAAAGTGGTCAACATATGTTAAATATGCATGAATAAGTCAGAGATAAGCAGCTCTATTTGTCAGTGATGCCCCCACACCAAACTTCATCCTTCATCTTGTTCCAGGATTGTGTATACGTTTGGATGGGAGTACATTTACAGATGTGTTTTTCACGGGCATTTGGTGTTGCATTTGATTTACATAAAACTTTTTTTTGAACCTTTTACATTTTTTTAATACTTTGCTACTGCTGTGTGAACTTGTGGAATGGATACTTTATTCATGGGAGTGTTGTGTTTGTATTTAGTTCACCGACTAATTTATATTTTCAGTCTTCTTAAGTGTTGCATATTTATTTCTGAAAATATTTTCTATGGCTTGCTGTTTAACATTCTCTTCCCACAGAGGTTACTCCTGTCATATCTTCCTACGTAACCTCTGTTCTAATACGGCCCTTTCTTGGTGTGAGCGTTCAAGACAATCAGATTTAGTTGTGCAATCAGCGACGTTGTTTCAAAAGTGATTATTCGCAAGGCCTCGGTAATTTCCGTATGCTTCGAGAAAACTAAACCTCTTCCCCTGCGCGATGCGCAAACGTTTCTTCTAGACAGAACTCAGTCATGTTATGGCGGATCAGTGGCGTCTCCATCGCCCTCGTTGACAACGGACAAGCTAGCCATTAAACGTCTTGTGTGTAATATCAACACAATTCCCCGGCAGATGGGGGGATATTTGTGGCCCCACATTTGCTTGTGTTAGTCAAGTTGAATCTAAGTCGATGTAACACGTGTTCTGATTGGATAGAAAGAAGGGAGATAATTCGTGTTGCGATCTTTTTGCCGCTAGGGGATTTTACGAGAACCGGGAAATATGGCCGTATTAGAACAGGTTCGTAGGAAGATATGACAAAAGTAACCTCTGTGGGAAGAGAATGGCTGTTTAAATGAACGTTCTTGAAAGTGTCCATCCATTTGCGAGAAGGTATTTACTGTAATGAAGAAGTAGATGTTCAATTAAATAAAAGAAATACATATAATATCAGTAGTATTTACTGTATAAAGTAACATATGTTATATTTGGGATTACACTTTCTCAGGTAAATACAGATTCTAGTACTTTTACTGGGTTGAGTCCCATCCAGGATTCGAACCCACCCCTCAGAGTCAGGCATCTAATCACCAGCACACAAAGTCAGCCGCCTGCTGTGGTATCTCCGTGGTTGACAGTACTACAGTTCATGGGTTGTAAGACCTATCCCGTCAGGATCCATGGGAGAAGGTGAATTCAGTGCCAGAAGATGTTTCCTGTACCCGGTGAGAGTTCACCCTGGGAGGATTCCCCGTAACAAGGGTTTCCTGGTCAGAATGTCTGGGTTTCTTGATGTAACAGATACCCATTGTCGTCTGCTTTTGACAATCGTTGAGAATACAATACAGTACTTGGGCATGTCAAACACCTTTGCCTCTCAGTGTGAACAAAACATGTCAACATTTAACTGAAACAATATATGGTAAATCTGTCTGGCTTTGTATATTCATGGGCTCTCAGTTAAATAATTCTACAGCCCGGGATAGATAATTCTACAGTCCCGTGCGGGAACAGGGATAGATTACTTTTCCAGCAATCAGCTCACTGGTCCGGTTTGGGGAAATGGGTGTAACGTATGACTTGGTTGATAGGTATTATATTATACACAAAATCAATCGCTGGACATCCTGGTCCAGACTCCATTATATATATATGTACTTGTAACTGGAATGTTGCCGAGTACGCCTTTGAACTAAAAATATACAGAAAGGAGTGATTGGTACGAATTTTTAGTCGGGAGACAAACCTAAAAGGGGTCACAATTCAAAATAGTGTTACATTTGTGATACACCCACACGGATTTTACTGTACCAGAAGTTACTTAAATGTGCAGACGTTTGAGTGGTGTTGGGTGTCAACGGGGTATTAAACGGGCGTCAACGGGGTATCAAACGGACTTCAAAGGGTCCGTGATCGTGGGGGAATAGTCCCTCTTAAAGTCTGTCAATTTAAAATGAAGGTCCGGTAGATCGTTCGGCAACAGTTTCTGTGGCATGCATTGTACATAACATAACATGGGGGCATGGACCCTCGCAAAGTCTCCCAAGGGAAAAAAGGCAGATAGTTTAACAACTGAACGAAACAAACATACACAGTCGTTGGCGATCAAGCATATAAAGACAGCTTAATACACATTTGGCACATAACAGTGAAGTATACAATATAAAGACGTATCAAACTGTACAGTAAGAAAAGTATCAAAAATATTTATATGCATATTAATTATATATACGTGCTCGAGCAGCGATCGTATGTATACTCACTGGGGAAAATATCGTAACATATTCATGTAATTATGTTTGTATGATTATTTTGACTCTTCGGCTGCACTGTACATTGATTTCAGATATGCTCGTCTTTGATCGTAGTATATGCATATCTGAAATCAGTGTACATGTACATGTGTATCCATCTTTAAGGTAATATGAATTATTTTGTTGCTATTAAAGCAAATACGGGGCCTCCTCAACAGGGGCGGATACAGCTTTTTGAGAAAGGGGTGGGGGGGGTGCACACTTCATACTCACGAGTGTTTCAATGGTCATTTAATAAATTTTCATTACAAGAGGGAAAGGGGGTGCACACACGCACACACACACAAGACGTGATACCAAGCACCTGTACCAATAATTCATACAGTATTACACGTTCAGGAGTTGTTTAGCAATATTGACGATGTTACTGAGAATATAATTCACTATACATTCTTGCTTGACAGTATACGGATCTATACATATCGAAACGTATAGTTGTTGGATATAATATACTGAACAGCATTGAAAACGCACCACTTATAAAAGTTCAGATTATAAAAAGCACGTGTAAGGAATTGCTATTTTTGTAGAGGATAATAACAGATGGACGACTGAAAAAACAACACAGAAAAGACGCTCATACATTGAAATGTTCCACAGTCAGAAAGGATCAAACACACGTGGGGTCAAATCGAAAAGTCAATACTGCGTGTGACCGCCATTTGCATTGACACATGCAGTTTAACGTCTCCTCATTGAGTCATTAAGCGTCCGAATAGATTTTTGAGGATGGCATTCCACTTCTGCAGTAGTGCAGCCTCAAGTTCCCGGATGTTTCGCATCTGTTGTCGCCGCAAAAGACTTTGACCAATTTCGTCCCACAAGTGCTCCATGGGGGATACATCTGGCGACTGTGCTGGCCAATGAATAACCTGGATGTGTTGCTGGGCCAGATACTGCATGGAAAGTCTTGTTGTGTGTGCCCATGCGTTGTCCTGTTGAAAAGTATGGACATCTTGGTGGTGATTGAAGACAGATACGATGTGATTCTGAAGAATCTGCTCAAGGTAATAAAGGGCATTAACTCTCCCTTGACAGACACGAAGGCAGTCCTGTGATTGTAATCTATTCCACCCCAGACCATGACACTCCCACCACCCAAAGGACTGTCTGAAACACCCACTCATCAGCATAACGTTCACCACGTCTACGACAAACACGTAATCGGCCGTCAGCATTACGTAGATGAAGACGTGACTCGTCAGTGACTACCACACCATGCCATTGTTGTAACCTTCACTGAAAATGCCTGCTAGCCCATTGTATACGCTCATTACGGTGTCTGTCAGTCAGAATTGGTCCAACGTAAGGACGTCGAGCATGGAGCCCTCTAGCGTGTAGACGGCGTCGCATGGAGTCAGCGCTGATGACCCCCACGTCAACCTTGAACTAGTGCAGTAGTCCTGGCAGTCGGCAGTGTTAAATCACTGATATGGACAAGGTCCATATGGCGATGCTGATGGAGCGTCGTAACACGTTGTGAAGGTCATTGAAGGTCACGGGTGCTGCCTGTCTACTGATGTCGTCGATGAAGCCTAAAGATGGTGGATTGGCCAAGTCCAAGTTGTCGAGCAATATCCCTGCTGCTGGTGCCAACCTGAGTCATGCCTAGTGCACGTTCTCTTTCGTGAGGTGTTAACCTCGGCATCTCTGTCCTCGTTTCACAATCGTTAGTGAAGCAATGATAATCGGTTCTCATACACCTGCTTTTAATGTAGATTCAGTATGATTTCAGAATGAAATTCGCGCTTTTTTCATGGCGTGGCTGCATGTTGATGCATTTTGGAATTAAGAGTCATACTGTGGACAGGAATTTGTTTCTAAAGCATTGTTTCAACTGGACATGCCCTTCTACTTCGTGTTAGTTATATTCATTGATCATTGTCATGCTGAAATCCATCTTGATGAAAATATGGACGATTTAAACTGGTGCGTTTTCAATGATGTTCAGTATATATCCATAATTGTGAATATATAATGCGCCTTTTCCAATCTGATTATTATGACCCCGGATAACCCAAGCTGCATGTATGTGAGGCGCTAGAAGGTAAATAGTCACATGGCTTATCCCGCCGGGTACCATCTTCTGCTGGTTGAACAGAGGCAAGTTTGAAGAAACTCACTTGCCTAAGGTGAGACCACACGTGCTTCGTTGTGGGGGAGGACTGAAGTCCTGGAAAGTTTCAGGAGTCAAGCTGCCGGGCAGGGTCACCCATCCAAGGACTCTCCGCGTCCAACGTAGCTTAACTTCAACTGATTTGTCACCTGAGCTCTACGTACACGACCACACACCACAGCATAAACCTTATTATGTTGATTCCTTCTTGTTACCTCCAGCTTGAGGGTCTGGGAGTTGTTCTTTACAACAGAATCGTTTGAAGAAGACAACAATGTCCCCTTGATCACCGGTCGGACCTACAACACCGAGGAGGGTGATGAAAAATCCCAATGAAAACAAAAGAGAAAATCCGATCGTACAAAACATAAATATACCAAACTGAAAGAAAAACTGGATTTCTGAAAACAACATAAAGAAGGAAGCTCCGAGAGTAGTGCATGCTCCCGAAAATACGGGTACTCCCATGAATTCGAGAGTGTCGCGGACACGTGACTTCCGGTCTTTACTCTTCGATAGGTGGTATCCTTCTGCAAAGTGTACAATATAGTCCACAGCTAGTCCAACAACAAGACACATGTTGAGCGACACCAGAACCTGTAAAATACAAACATGTGTTATGTAACGCTTTCATTCATCAGTTTTTGGTGTTGAAAAGGTACGAGAATTTACATGGGTTCATTGCATGAGGAAGTTCACGTACGACAACCGTTTGCCAGTTTAAGCCATGTTTGTTTTACAATTATACACTTTTATACGTTATTCAATTTATGTACCCCGAGTTTCCATCCGGCAAGAGGCACCACACCTATGACACAGACAGTGACACATCCAATTGACACAGTTGCTAGGAAACCAAGAATGATGTTTTGGGTGGCCAGTGTCAGTATAGGGAACGCCATGCTGAGCCCGATGGCGATGCCCAGCACAGCGTTGTCAGCAAGCGCCTACAATATACAATTAGAAAAATCTATCTGTTTATTTCTATCAAACCTTTCTTATACTGTGAGTGCATTTTCAGTCAGTCACTTTCGTGATGTATTTTGTCGTGTCTAAACAAACCAGTGGTCGAAAGCATGACCAGCGATTGATGATTGGTCAGAGACTTGGTCAGAGACTGAAGACATCCGATTCCGTTCCATCAACTCTAAACGTACAGAGGTATTTCCACTTTGGAAATCTGCGACCGCATCAATTGTATTATTTGCTTCTAGTGGTGATATTCAATCTGTCTTCACAGAGTATAGATGTCCGGTATTGTTCTGAGAACAAACATATATAATAAATCTGATTATTTCATAGACACTCATGTAAAGCGTACCTTCTGCACGTAGAGCCAGTGCCAAAATACCCTGGTTGTCTGGAAACCTCCCTGTAGACTCGCAGGCATCTTGCTCAGCTGGTGAAACAGGAACAGGTCGTTTAGCACAATGATATTCAAGTCACCTCTCTACGGATGAGTAATATATTATACCTTAGATATTCAAATTGACAAGCTAGCGTGATTATATCTCTATCAATACATATTTCATTATTTTCCATTTTTGCGATAGCTGTCTTTCCCATTAGAGAATAACCTATTTTCTCCCATTGTCAAATGCGTTCTTTATGTTTGTTTGTTTTTTGTTGGTTTTTTTTGTTTAACGACGCACCCAACAACATTCCAGAAATATGGCGGCGGATTTGTAAATAAATAGTCTGGGCCAGACAATCTAGCGCTCAACAGCATGAGCATCGGTCCATGCCCTATATTTATCAGACAGGAAAAGATGGAAGAGCGTGTTCCTTCCTGTCTATTAGCTGCCCCTCCCAAACCTTTAACGCCACAGCAAACAACCATCTGCAACCCTAGGGCTGATAGTATGTTTATTATTTATGTATATAAATTAAAACGTGTGATTTCTTAAAACTAGCATTTTGTCAAATCAAATTTTAACAGGAACACACTCTTTAACAGATGTCCAGGATGCACTACCCTTGTATCTACAGTCCGTTTGAGTTCTTTAAGAAACTATCATTAAAATTTTGACACAGTTCACTATTTGTTACGAGGGAGGAGTGCAGAGAAAGGGACAGCCAGGTGTGCGAGAAAGGATGGAGACGGACGGCACAGCACAGGCTAATGAATCTCTAACACCTGGCTGTCCCTTTCTCTGCACTCCTCCCTCGTAACAAATAGTGAACTGTGTCAAAATTTTAATGATAGTTTCTTAAAGAACTTTTTAGGTGGAGTCCGGAAATTTTTCAAATATAAGAAAGCTGTTGGGTATTAGTAAATGATAAACATGTGTACTATTTATATTTATGTGGCAATTTTGTACAATGATAAAATTTGCAATTCATCGGTCCGTTTCTGACTCAAACGGACTGTACATGTATGATCATCAGATACAGCTTGTGTATACCTGTCGTGTCATGAAGTCCTCCCACCGCTTCACAACCGGAAGTCCGTCTGTGTAACTGAGAGACTGGCCAATCAGTGTCGTGTTGATCTGGACGGCCAAGAACTTGATCCGGTTGCCCACACTGCTAACTGCAATACACATTCACTGCAGTGGAACAGCTGACTGCAATACACATTTACTGCAGTGGAACAGCTGACTCCAATACACATTCACTGCAGTGGAACAGCTGACTCGAAAATACACATTTACTGCAGTGGAACCGCTGACTACAATACACATTTACTGCAGTGGAAACGCTGACTACAATACACATTTACTGCAGTGGAACCGCTGACTCCAATACACATTTACTGCAGTGGAAACGCTGACTACAATACACATTTACTGAAGTGGAACTGCTGACTACAACGAACATTTACTGCAGTGGAACCGCTGACTAAAATACACATTTCCTGCAGTGGAACAGCTGACTGCAATACACATTTACTGCAGTGGAACAGCTGACTCCAATACACATTTACTGCAGTGGAACAGCTGACTACAATACACATTTACTGCAGTGGAACAGCTGACTGCAATACACATTTCCTGCAGTGGAACGGCTGACTGCAATTCACATTTACTGCAATCAGGAATTAGTGTTCGAAATAAGCCCAAAACAGGAAGATTGGCAATCAGTCACTCTACCTTCCCTTCACGTTTATAAATGTTTCCGCCCACGTTAGGTTACCACACCATTAAGTATAATTAGTAGATATGTGTTGCCATGAAGAATGTCTAGTTTGCACTCAGATGAACTCAGATTTCTGAAAGATTTGCCCATCTGTTAATTTATCAGTTGCCATGGGAATACAAAGACATTTGTCATTATACTTCGACATTGGTCACATCCTAAGGTCACATATGTGTTGTGTTTTACAATATGACCTGTACAATGACCAACATCAATTATCGACTGAAGCTTCACACGTACCTGGTGTGGTCTTCTGACTGAATGTGTCCTTGACCTCGCCGAAGAGAGAATTATACTTCACATAGTCATCAGTGAGTCTCATTCTGAAGCCATCGAAGAGCCAATACGTCAGTGGTATCTGAAAAATACCAAACGATTGATTGATTGCAGTGTGACAGTGGTCTCGACCAGACAATCCTGTGACAACTAAGGCTACGCTGGGCAACCCTAATGTCCTGTTTACTAGAAATAAAAGCAACAATTTGAACTTAGTGGCAGATAACGAAATCTGTGTACATCACTATGATTCCCGACAGGAAACAAGAGTCCATTGAATGGAAACAAGTCGGATACCTCAAGTTTGAAGACCCGCTAAGAAAGTTAAGTTCTCCATGTGTAAATAGCCCACCTTGCATGATTCCCATTTGCACGTGAACTTAACTGCGTGTGCATGCGAAGTATTTGAACGTAAAAGTACATGGTAGGCAGATATTATATGATAGTGAAAAACTATCAGAAAAAGGAATAAATCCCCTTTACCCCATGAATATCATTTTTTTCCGCTTCCTCCTTTGTGATCACAGAGGACACGCTGCAATGAACACACAATATGTATGGGCAAGTGGTTACAATTACACTGCGCTCATTCGGGACAGTAAAGGCACAATAGGCATTGTTTATTTTTCATGGGGAACACCCATGAATGATACATATTGAAAGGATGACTCCTGTATAAGAATATGGATCTTGTGTGGAAATATGGGTCTTGTATAGGGATATGGGTCTTGTATGGGAATTTAAAAACCGAAATGACTCATTATTTCAATTGTTTGTTGGGTCCGAAATTTCGATTTTTTTTCTCGTATATTTATTCTACCAAAGAGGCATCATTTAGCTTTCGTAACTGACAATCATCTTTTCTCAAATTAGAACTAAAAATACATTTGAATTATGTTTTGCAATGTCCAAACTTCGGTTGCTACTGAGGAGGGCATCTTGACAGGTCTGGAGTTGATCTTCCGCAAAGCAGGGACGACTGACTTTCAGAAGAAATGGAACAAGTATATTTAATTGTTATGCGTTGTGAAGTTAAATATTTGAAACTTAAGACAATATTTCAGTTTTATATATGCTTGGCAAAAAGTATCTTATACCTCTCGTAGAGTGAAATATATAAACATCTGTTCAGTTCCTGTCTGGTAATATTAACTGGAAGGTAATGGGGACTGATGGATGTTGTTTGACGCGGTGGTCATATTCCAGTTGCTACAATCCCCTGCAATGCAAGGAAGGACAAGGATCGCAGTACCACACACAGAGACACGTCACAGAGACAGATCTGTTTTGATCGCTAAAGATAACTATGGGTTAAGGGATCTATATCTACCCCTCCTAAAAGAGGAACACTAATGGAATGAAAAAGGTCTGACATGGCGAGAAAGTTATGGAATGCAGTCAATACATCAATATAATTATCTCTAATTTTGTTGAATCTAGTGTTGTACTCACATCCAAATATCGATCAAACGAGCTGTTGAAGGTAGTCATACTGTAGTTTGTTGGTTTTGCCGACATGAAGGCCGATGTTCGAGACCAGTTCCAAGGCAGGTCAAGCGTCAAACTGCCAGCATCCACGTCAGTCTAAAATAGCGAAGTGCAAGAGAGTGAATGTGATTGGATGTAAAGTAATAAACAATAGAGTTGATGTTAATCAACATACTGTTAAAGAGGTCAATAAGTAAGTGAGAAGGTCAGCGGGGAAATAGATGTTGTTAAAGGCATGGAGCATGCAGGTAGGTGAACTAAAAAGGTAGGGGGAGGGAGAGATTGTTTATTGAGACCAAAGAAAAAGAGTTTCAAACAAAACATTTGTTTCGATACAACCGCAGTATTCCTACAATGTATGTTACCGAGGCCTTCAATAGTCGATTGAAGTCCACATACACCAATATCAAAAAGCATGAGCATCGATCCGTTCCATCATGGTACGGTGGCCCACGATCTGCGGATATAGGCATCCTTTCCTGCCACAGGGATGCTCCACGTATAGGTAAGGTGTGATTGGGACATGGGTATGTCCCTAAATGATGCCAGGGTCCGATTGTCGTCCATTAGGTTCCAAGATGCACCCTGATAGGGATATCTGATTTGTCCTTACCATGTCCATACTCTAGGTAAACGTGTACAATGTACGTATGCAGTTCGGGCACTCTTGGCCTGCTGTGTTGCCATATCGCGATACACCCGAGGTTCTAAGTTACCCCACACACCTGCAGGAATGCCTCCATGTTTCGAGTGAAGCAAGCCACTTCCATCTCCCCTGTGACTGTGTCTCGTCTGATTTTATAGGCAGCAACATCTTCTTTCGTAAAGTTGTAGATTTCATCACAGAGAGCCTGGGCAAAATACGTATTTCTATAACCATTATACAAACAGTACAACACTGTTAATACGGACGGGTAATCCTCTGTCCGCGTTAACAAATGACTGGCTTAATTGGAGGCTTCTTTTTGTAAGTATATACTCCTCACAAAAAGTTAAGCAACACTAATTTTTAGTCTCATTACATTTTCATTTATTGAAATTGCAAATCATGGAATGATGCAATAGAAAGGTGAAACATATGTACACACGATTAACAAAATGAAATTTTGAAATGGTATTGAGCAATAATAGACTTACAAATCATCAAAAGCATGTACCCGCGAAACAGTCGTGCAAAATGTGCTGCATTGATGGAGCAAAATGTTAACATTAAGGTTCAAGTCAGTTTTGGACAGCGAAGCAGTGTTCAGTAACGCGTATGACCAGCATGAGCACAAATGCAAGCTTCTACACGTCTTTGCATTGACCAAATGAGCCTTTAAAGTTGCTGTTGTGAAATGTTCTGTCATTCTCTCTGTAACGCCTGCTCAAGGTCATCCAGAGTCTGGCGGTGAACATGGAGACCGTAAACACTACTTCGAATAATGTCCCAAGCATGTTCAATGGGATTAAAATCAAGTGACCCTGGAGGCCAATCCATATGTGTGATGTTGTTGATCTAAACAACATCGTTAACAACTCTTTCTCGGGCATTATCATCCATAAAAATGAAGTTAGGACCCGCTTGTTGTACAAGATGAATGATTACAGGTAGGTTTACACCGATCAGGGTGCATGTGCATAAAGAGTGGAGCACATTCATGCAACACATTTTGCATGTTGTTTCTGATGGTGGTTGTGTTCAGGCTATGTTGTCAATGTTATCAGATGAATCAATTTGACAGTCACTAAAGGTTATGTATTCTTTGAATATTTACCTTTAAGTAACCAGTCGCCAAAAATTGCTATCGAAATTGATAAAGATATTACACTGAAAATACTTGTTGCTTAATTTTTTTTGAGGAGTATATATTAGACGTTTTCTCCCATATCAGTTGCAACTTAGTATACAAATTTATCTCAACACTTCGACCCCCATATATTTATACAGCACATTGGTTTGGTGTCCACAATTATCATGCCACACGTGTACCGTAGACTTTCACTCTACCTTTGTGAATTGTGAAGCATAAGACATGAATTTTTACAAAGACAGATATTAAATAAACTCTGAATGGTAGAGTGTCAATACCTAATACCCTTTAAACAGTGGTCAAATGTAACAAATGTTAATCTTGCAACCAGTTAAATGGACAATTTTAATTTTTTCAAATCCGATAATACCCAAGTGTCAGAACAATAGAATGTGCTGTGTCAAGGTGTCAAGTATCATATACGGGCCAACCATACTGATTTCATACAAATGATGGATAACTTCAAATAGATCTCGCTTACCTCATGACAAATCTCAAATACATGTAGATAGGAGATGATGAAATTATCTGTATGGAGCCATGGGTTCATAGTGATGATACCAGGTGTTAGCAAACACAATATTACCTTCAAAGCTAGTTGAGCTTGTGGAATACTGGCATCAAACTGATCATCAAAAACTTGAGTACCCTCGCATTTCACAGCGGAGAAGTGGCATCCGCCCAGATCCCTTTCTTTCAAGCCCCACACCAAGTACAAGGTGATAAACCGCTCCACTTCGTTAGGCACAAAGGAGTACAGGTTTCTATCGATCGCTTTGGAATAGTGATGTGACTTTTTGTAAAGCTGTAACTATACAGAAAACAGCAGTATCTCACAGGTTGAAGTATAACTACACTCAAAACAGCAGTATCTCACAGGTTGAAGTATAACTACACTCAAAACAGCAGTATCTCACAGGTTGAAGTATAACTACACTCAAAACAGCAGTATCTCACAGGTTGAAGTATAACTACACATAAAACAGCAGTATCTCACAGGGTTTTGTTTGCTTTGGTTGTTGTTTAACGCTGCACTCAGCAATATTCCAGCGGTCTGGAAATAATCGAGTCTGGACCAGACAATCCAGTGATCAATAGCACGAGCATCGATCTACACAATTGGGATACGATGACATGTATCAACCAAGTCAGTGAGCCTGACCACCCGATCCCGCTAATCACCTCATACGACAAGAAGACCAGTTCTTACCTGGATCGTCATGAGTAATATCTTACAGGGTGAAGTACAACCTTACTGAAAACAGCAGTATCTTACAGGGTGAAGTACAACCTTACTGAAAACAGCAGCATCTTACAGGGTGAAGTACAACTTTACTGAAAACAGCAGCATCTTACAGGGTGAAGTACAACCTTACTGAAAACAGCAGCATCTTACAGGGTGAAGTACAACTTTACTGAAAACAGCAGTATCGTACAGGGTGAAGTACAACTTTACTGAAAACAGCAGTATCGTACAGGATGAAGTACAACTTTACTGAAAACAGCAGTATCGTACAGGATGAAGTACAACTATACTGAAAACAGCAGTATCGTACAGGGTAAAGTACTACTTTACTGAAAACAGCAGTATATTGTACAGGGTGAAGTACAACTTTACTGAAAACAGCAGTATCTTTACTATAAACCTTGGTATTACCCTCGTGGGTATGATTATACGTAGTTTTTACATTAAGAAACAATGCAATTCTAAATGAACAATATTATGCCATTACCTGTTCATTTTCCGCCTTTATAAGAGACGTCTGGTAACCGAAAAAGCCAACCAAAGTCAGAAATATGGATAAAATGATCCACTTTGCAAATTTGTGTGTCACAATCTTGAAATGGTAATCCCGAAAATACCTAAGCAAAAGAGGCTTCTTCTTTTTCTTCCCAAATTGTGGTTCGTCTTGATTCGTCTCCTTCCCAAATTGTGGTTCGTCTTGATTAGTCTCCTTCCCAAATTGTGGTTCGTCTTGATTAGTCTCCTTCCCAAATTGTGGTTCGTCTTGATTAGTCTCCTTCCCAAATTGTGGTTCGTCTTGATTAGTCTCCTTCCCAAATTGTGGTTCGTCTTGATTAGTCTCCTTCCCAAATTGTGGTTCGTCTTGATTAGTCTCCTTCCCAAATTGTGGTTCGTCTTGATTAGTCTCCTTCCCAAATTGTGGTTCGTCTTGATTAGTCTCCTTCCCAAATTGTGGTTCGTCTTGATTAGTCTCCTTCCCAAATTGTGGTTCGTCTTGATTCGTCTCCTTCCCAAATTGTGGTTCGTCTTGATTAGTCTCCTTCCCAAATGTACAACAACAACAGCTGTATTTCTCAAAATATGTGTGATACACCACGACCACTGTTGGGAAGAACGTGATGACAGATACGTAGTTTACCAGTACTAATATCCCGGAAAAAACACCGAACGACTTGGTGGCGAGAATGGGCGATACAGCGCTTGCTATAAAGGCAAACATCGTCGTTAGCGAAGTTATCAGCATGCTGAGCGCGGACTTCCTGTACGCATCAGAGAGTCTGTGGGCTAAAGATGGATAGGTGTTGAACGCTGTTGCCCTCCACGCATCATAAAACACAAATAAATCATCAGCTCCAATTCCTAATATAATGAAAATAGCCAGGACGTGAAAGAAGCCAAAATACCGATAATCAAGTACAATTCTGTAGATTAGATTTGTGCCCATGAAACTGGACAAGATACTGTAGATGGCGAAGCTGGTGATCCACAGTGACCTTGTGTGGTAGCACATGAATGCCCCGATGAAGAGCATGCTCCCAATCGCAAGCATCAGGTCCAGAATTGCCTGGTCCTTGACATCCGCTATCATCATATTGTAGTTGTAGTATAAGAACTCAAACTGCGATGTACTGCGGCGGTAGGCTTCAAGCGCCGGTTTCATGCTGCCGGAGAGGTACTCCTTCAGAGCTTCCCTTGCGGCAGAGGCGCTTTTCCCTTGTATGGGCATTCCAAGCAGTACCAAGGATCTGGTCACTTGCGCCGACACCAGCGTCGGCGTAACCTCATGGCTGAGAGCTAACGTATACTCAAACGCGCTCTTCGTTGCATTGTTGATGGATGCCTGATATAGAACAGCTGGTATGTTGTCAAAATTAGGGTCACTAAAAACAGGATCAACAGCCGCATAGGTTCCATCGAAGAAACGTAAAGCCGAGATCGGCTTCAAACAGCTGTCTGTTCCCGCGACCTTCTCCATTTGGCAATATCTGTCAAAGTCCCGAACTTGCTGCATACCATCCTCTATTTCTTTTATCTTTACCAAATGATTTTTGTCAAATATATTTCCACCTCTTGTTTCATAGATCATTTCCACGCTTTCCCCTAGTCGATATCGATATTTGGGGAAAGAGGACGACCGGCTGAGTATCCTTCTGACCCAGCCTCGGTATGAGTTTCTGTACCGGAAGGCGAGGTCACGCTTTAACCATGGCTGGTCACGGAGCTGGAGAGGGAGGGTTTCAAAGTTCGTAGGGAAGAGGTCATAACCAGAAGCTACCAGAATCCCCGTTGTCACTGTCATGAGTAGGTGTCCACATAACATCAAAACTGAAATAAGGATAACAATGATATCAGTGATGAGGATGATTCCCAAATGTGTAAGAAGAAAATGGAAATGCACACGCGGTGATGAAGATGAAGATAAGGTTGCTAATACAGGTAGGAAAAGATTGAGATTCAAACAGGGTGATGAAGATGCTAATACAGGTAGGAAAAGATTGAGATTCACGAAGAGTGATGAAGATCAAGATGCTAATAGAGGTAGGAAAAGATTGAGATTCACGCAGAGTGAAGAAGATGAAGATGCTAATAGAGGAAGGAAAAGATTGAAATTCACACAGAGTGAAGAAGATGAAGATGCTAATAGAGGAAGGAAAAGATTGAAATTCACACAGAGTGAAGAAGATGAAGATGATAATAGAGGTAGGACAAGATTGAGATTCACACAGGGTGATGAAGATGAAGATGCTAATAGAGGTAGGAAAAGATTGAGATTCACACAGGGTGATGAAGATGAAGATGCTAATAGAGGAAGGAAAAGATTGAGATTCACACAGGGTGATGAAGATGAAGATGATAATAGAGGTAGGAAAAGATTGAGATTCACGCAGAGTGAAGAAGATGAAGATGCTAATAGAGGTAGGAAAAGATTGAGATTCACACAGAGTGAAGAAGATGAAGATGATAATAGAGGTAGGAAAAGATTGAGATTCACACAGGGTGATGAAGATGAAGATGATAATAGAGGTAGGAAAAGATTGAGATTCACGCAGAGTGAAGAAGATGAAGATGCTAATAGAGGTAGGAAAAGATTGAGATTCACACAGAGTGAAGAAGATGAAGATGCTAATAGAGGTAGGAAAAGATTGAGATTCACGCAGAGTGAAGAAGATGAAGATGCCAATAGAGGTAGGAAAAGATTGAGATTCACGCAGAGTGAAGAAGATGAAGATGCTAATAGAGGTAGGGAAAGATTGAGATTCAAACAGAGTGAAGAAGATGCTAATAGAGGTAGGAAAAGATTGAGATTCAAACAGGGTGATGAAGATGCTAATAGAGGTAGGAAAAGATTGAGATTCACACAGAGTGAAGAAGATGAAGATGCTAATAGAGGTAGGAAAAGATTGAGATTCAAACAGGGTGATGAAGATGCTAATAGAGGTAGGGAAAGATTGAGATTCACGAAGAGTGATGAAGATCAAGATGCTAATACAGGTAGGAAAAGATTGAGATTCAAACAGGGTGAAGAAGATGAAGATGGTAATAGAGGTAGGAAAAGATTGAGATTCACGAAGAGTGAAGAAGATGAAGATGCTAATAGAGGTAGGAAAAGATTGAGATTCATGCAGAGTGAAGAAGATGAAGATGATAATACAGGTAGGAAAAGATTGAGATTCACACAGGGTGATGAAGATCAAGATGGTAATACAGGTAGGAAAAGATTGAGATTCACACAGAGTGAAGAAGATGAAGATGCTAATAGAGGTAGGAAAAGATTGAGATTCAAACAGAGTGAAGAAGATGCTAATAGAGGTAGGAAAAGATTGAGATTCAAACAGGGTGATGAAGATGCTAATAGAGGTAGGAAAAGATTGAGATTCAAACAGGGAGTGAAGAAGATGCTAATAGAGGTAGGAAAAGATTGAGATTCAAACAGGGTGATGAAGATGCTAATAGAGGTAGGAAAAGATTGAGATTCACGAAGAGTGAAGAAGATGAAGATGCTAATAGAGGTAGGAAAAGATTGAGATTCAAACAGGGTGATGAAGATGAAGATGCTAATAGAGGTAGGAAAAGATTGAGATTCAAACAGGGTGATGAAGATGCTAATAGAGGTAGGAAAAGATTGAGATTCACGAAGAGTGAAGAAGATGAAGATGCTAATAGAGGTAGGAAAAGATTGAGAATTATGCAGAGTGAAGAAGATGAAGATGATAATACAGGTAGGAAAAGATTGAGATTCACACAGGGTGATGAAGATCAAGATGCTAATACAGGTAGGAAAAGATTGAGATTCACACAGAGTGAAGAAGATGAAGATGCTAATAGAGGTAGGAAAAGATTGAGATTCAAACAGAGTGAAGAAGATGCTAATAGAGGTAGGAAAAGATTGAGATTCAAACAGGGTGATGAAGATGCTAATAGAGGTAGGAAAAGATTGAGATTCAAACAGAGTGAAGAAGATGCTAATAGAGGTAGGAAAAGATTGAGATTCAAACAGGGTGATGAAGATGCTAATAGAGGTAGGAAAAGATTGAGATTCACGAAGAGTGAAGAAGATGAAGATGCTAATAGAGGTAGGAAAAGATTGAGATTCAAACAGGGTGATGAAGATGAAGATGCTAATAGAGGTAGGAAAAGATTGAGATTCAAACAGGGTGATGAAGATGCTAATAGAGGTAGGAAAAGATTGAGATTCACGAAGAGTGAAGAAGATGAAGATGCTAATAGAGGTAGGAAAAGATTGAGAATTATGCAGAGTGAAGAAGATGAAGATGATAATAGAGGTAGGAAAAGATTGAGATTCAAACAGGGTGATGAAGATGCTAATAGAGGTAGGTAAAGATTGAGATTCACGAAGAGTGAAGAAGATGAAGATGATAATAGAGGTAGGAAAAGATTGAGATTCAAACAGGGTGATGAAGATGCTAATAGAGGTAGGAAAAGATTGAGATTCACGAAGAGTGAAGAAGATGAAGATGCTAATAGAGGTAGGAAAAGATTGAGATTCAAACAGGGTGAAGAAGATGCTAATAGAGGTAGGAAAAGATTGAGATTCACACAGAGTGAAGAAGATGAAGATGATAATAGAGGTAGGAAAAGATTGAGATTCACACAGAGTGAAGAAGATGAAGATGCTAATAGAGGTAGGAAAAGATTGAAATTCAAACAGGGTGAAGAAGATGAAGATGGTAATAGAAGTAGGAAAAGATTGAGATTCACACAGAGTGAAGAAGATGAAGATGATAATACAGGTAGGAAAAGATTGAGATTCACACAGAGTGAAGAAGATGAAGATGATAATAGAGGTAGGAAAAGATTGAGATTCACACAGAGTGAAGAAGATGAAGATGCTAATGGAGGTAGGAAAAGATTGAGATTCAAACAGAGTGAAGAAGATGAAGATGATAATAGAGGTAGGAAAAGATTGAGATTCACACAGAGTGAAGAAGATGAAGATGCTAATAGAGGTAGGAAAAGATTGAGATTCAAACAGAGTGAAGAAGATGAAGATGATAATAGAGGTAGGAAAAGATTGAGATTCACACAGAGTGAAGAAGATGAAGATGCTAATAGAGGTAGGAAAAGATTGAGATTCAAACAGGGTGAAGAAGATGAAGATGGTAATAGAAGTAGGAAAAGATTGAGATTCACACAGAGTGAAGAAGATGAAGATGCTAATAGAGGTAGGAAAAGATTGAGATTCACAGATGAAGAAGAAGATGAAGATGCTAATAGAGGTAGGAAAAGATTGAGATTCACACAGAGTGAAGAAGATGAAGATGCTAATAGAGGTAGGAAAAGATTGAGATTCAAACAGGGTGAAGAAGATGAAGATGGTAATAGAGGTAGGAAAAGATTGAGATTCACACAGAGTGAAGAAGATGAAGATGCTAATAGAGGTAGGAAAAGATTGAGATTCACGCAGAGTGAAGAAGATGAAGATGATAATAGAGGTAGGAAAAGATTGAGATTCAAACAGGGTGAAGAAGATGAAGATGGTAATAGAGGTAGGAAAAGATTGAGATTCACGAAGAGTGAAGAAGATGAAGATGCTAATAGAGGTAGGAAAAGATTGAGATTCAAACAGAGTGAAGAAGATGAAGATGCTAATAGAGGTAGGAAAAGATTGAGATTCACGCAGAGTGAAGAAGATGAAGATGCTAATAGAGGTAGGAAAAGATTGAGATTCAAACAGGGTGAAGAAGATGAAGATGGTAATAGAGGTAGGAACAGATTGAGATTCACACAGAGTGAAGAAGATGAAGATGATAATAGAGGTAGGAAAAGATTGAGATTCACGCAGAGTGAAGAAGATGAAGATGATAATAGAGGTAGGAAAAGATTGAGATTCAAACAGGGTGAAGAAGATGAAGATGCTAATAGAGGTAGGAAAAGATTGAGATTCACACAGAGTGAAGAAGAATCCGGAAAACCTCACAAGGTTCAAGAAAATAAGGAGATAAGGGTTTATTCGCAGATAAACATTTCATCATCACACACACACACACACACACACACACATATATACATATATATATATATATATATATATATATATATATATATCAGATTCCACTGAGGAGATAAACGGCAAATCGAGATTCGTGCATGTCAGCATTATACTTACAGAAGGACCATAGGGGATATCGCGCCACAAGCTTGCAGAAGAAGAAGGGCTTAGACGTCTTACCGTCCTCGCTAGTGCTGCCATCTTTGTCGTTATTATGTTTTACTGGCCAAACAAATTCGTTATGTGCGTTGCCGTTGACGTCATATTTGCCAGCCCTGAAGATACCGTAGTCCAAGGGGAATACTGACGTCATTCTGATGAACTGCAAGAAGATAGAAAAAATCCACTTGTTACGGAAGTTACCCTTAAAACAACATCGTTGTCGCAACATCAAACATCATAGGTTTTTACCTCGACCCAAAGGTATAACTTACGGGACTACCCGGTACTGTTTCACAAAACATTTATACAAATCATTTCAACTTTTAACCTACTTTGTTGGTTTGGTAACCTGTATGTGCAAAACAAAACTAAACTCTACAAAATTGTTAACACAGCACGCAAAACCATTGACACAGATTCAGTAACATCTGTCGGCCTACTTAAAGAGCATCAGATTGTCAAAAAGGGGCGGAAAAATATAAATGACAGCCCTCACATTCTATTTTACGATTTGGAATGTCTTCCATCAGGTCGTCGTCTGCGCATGCCGATAGCTACAACTAACAGCTTCTGTCATTCTTTTGTATCTGCCGGTATTCATTATATTGACAACCGTTAATCTTCATATTCATTCATTTATCATCTTACCTTCATATCAACCATTTTACGCCACTGCCATTTTTATCTCATCATAACATTAAGTCATATCTTACTCTTTCACTCTTTTAGTGCTCTTACGTATTATTTGTTTATTATCTTAGTGCTTGTTGAATATGATATGTTGTGATTTTATGGTTTGATGTGTTCTACGTGTTTTACGAAGTAACCAAAATTTCCCTCGGAATAATAAAGTATTATTGCACCTAATCTCATCTCATCTCGTTTCTAAAGCATTCTTTTAAACAATGATCCTAATAATTGTCTGAATATGCATGTCATGTTCAGATGTCACGGTTACAGCGCTACTAATGGCAATGAATATATCTGAAATGGTCAAGCTGACTTTTCCAATAACACCTTGTCGCCCTCGGTAACATGTGCTGTGTGCCCCATTCTGCAGTACACATTCGACACGTGCCTTTCAGGTGTTGAACACTGAAACTAACTGACACGCTCTGGCTCGACTGAATAGGACTCATAGTCGTCTACTAAATATTCCACTTTCATAGAAGGTATCATAACTTTCTACTTCAACTGGTTGGAAAGTTAACCAATCTGTTTTAAGTAAAACTATACTTGTCAATTGTGCATAATCGAATCGAATACATAACGATTGTAACGAAGTCTCGTCCCAACATTTGAACATGATCCTTCGTGTAATTATACGTCTTAGTGTCAAGACGTTCCACACTAGTTAGATGTGACGAACAGTTTCTACTCAACCTGTTTCCCAACTGAGGGTGTGTAAGAATTATTTCCCGCAGGACTTGTGTAGTGAAAGATTTTCCCCAGTATTAAAACGAAGTGTAAAACGAACTCGAATTGCAGATCCACATTCTGTCTTCCTTCTTAGGGGAAAGAAAGAGAAATTGACTGCCACCTAAATATATACAATGTGTCCTTTTATAGACTAAAGACATGTTGAGGCTCGTAGTTTTAATAGAACCATATGTGAAACCAAACAGTCACCCAGCTTACTGTCTACATTGGAATGTTTATGGAGCACGCTGCAGTGCTGATTCCAACAGTAAGGAGCGAGTGTGGTAAACCCCGAGGGGTACACCAACCATATTCCACTCGTACAAGTTACGTGGGCTTTGACAGGGTTCTCACCAAAGGATGAATGTGTTACAGAGGTAATTGTTTCAGGCAATCTAGAACCCAGATATGTCACATACCTGAACTGTGTCTGTGACATTACCTACCTGGCTACGAAGGGCGGTGCTAGTTCCTCCTTAAGGAAGACCCAATATCATTCTTTCCAGTCTACACCATAAGTGACCACAGCGGTGTTTCTTGGCCACAACATATCACGTCCAACATGTTATACACTGCCTGAACCGGATGACTGGGCGGTATTCTGTCGATAAGGCTGTAGATGGCAGTCGGCCAAAACATACCACTTTCTTTCTTCAACCTTTCCTTCCTGAATATTGTTCAGTAGTTAAAAGGAGGGAAGACAACTGTTTTACTTACTGACAACTTAAGCTGTTTATATTGATCAATATGTAAAATCTATTTTTATATTTCTGCCGCTCTATGCATATTTACCTTCAATCTGTCATTTTTGCATTATATAATCCACGTGTTGGCCATGAATGGAATTATTGTATTACACACATGACAAGTTCAGTCACTCACCCAAAGTGCATACATATCGATTAAATTATACGGTTTTTTTAACGTGCGCATGTAGTCAGTGATCTCAGGAGGGGTCAAACTAATACCTTTTCGTGTTTACCGTTGACATGTTTCTTTCTCCCAACTAATCTATCCCTACGCCCCCCTCCCTCTGTTCCCACTCGACCCCGAGATACTACCGCCAATGTACATAGGCCGCACCATAGAGCGTAATGAATGGGTGTAATATGTATAGATCAACCAATCGATAATGTCCTTTTTGAAATCCCCAGTGCCGATATCTCTCGCTTATACATTCGTATTATTGTCATTGTCGAGTAATATATTGTATGTGCGCTTTCACCTTATATTAGAAAGTATGGTGATTGATTCACGTGACCCGTCTTTAAACTTCGAGTCATCTGTTTGGTACACTAATTCAACCACAGTTGGGGCAGTCATGGTAGCGTATAAGCTTGGCGGAGTGTGTTGGAAATGATGTGATATTAATTTTTTTTATAATTTTATTTCTTTTCACCGGTACATGTTTTACAGCCAATAGATAGTTCAATAGTTCAATACACAGACTATCTAATCAAAATGGGTATGACAGTTCAGTAGCTGATGGTTGTGGCTTTTACAGGATATGTATTGTTCAGGTAAATAGACAATGACATATTGACCAGTATTTCCTGAATTTGGTGTAATCACAAGTTAAGGATGAGATATATCTGTCTATATGATATGCATTATATATCTTTTTGATATATTGGAATTGTCGTGGTCGTTTCGAAAGTTTGCTTTTATAAATGTTGAATTTAGTTGTATTTATGATCAGATTTACAACATCATTTCGCCTTTCTTGATAGCCAAATAGGGTATGTTGTTGGTAAAATCTAGTTTTATTCCTGTTTTCTCCTCGAATTGATATTAATGGTTGTTGTAGGTCCCACACAAAATGGTTCATTTCACGAAAATTGACGTGGCATTTGGGTGAACTTGAGACTTCTGAAAGTGAGCCTTTTCCTCCCTGTGGTTTAACCGGGGCTTTTCCGGGGTAGGACCTGCTTGTCAGAATGAGTGAGTGTAGTTCAACGCTGCTTCAAGCAGTAATTCAGGTGCAGTACATCACTTGGTGTCAGTTTATTCCAAGGATTCAACAAAATAAACGCTGTTCGTAGATGTCTACAACGGAAATCAGCGATCACGGGAACAGACAAACATCAAAATATCTGCAAAATCCGGATTCGAACCCATCATCAGCGGATCTTGGAGTGGCTAAGGCTCACAACTCTGAATAGCGCAGTCCAACGCTTTACTGTTACATACCTATATCTACCGTAATGCCAATTTCTACGAGGAACAGATTGTGTAAGTTCCAAGTTAAAAAGGCTGACCATTTGAAATCATGTGGATCAGGTAATCTGTGATGAAGCAGCTCGTGTATAAAGGCGTATTTCACTTCGCACGACCTACCTTGTCTGTACGTCGAGGTACATCCAGAAACTAGGGGGCAAACTCTTGAATTAACTCTAACAGTTGAATGGGCGCAAATTGGCGTCTTATTAGCCCACGTCGCCCTAAAATCATAAAACCAACCATTTTCTCAAATGACAATTGGTCTTACTTATAATATTATGTTACCTAAAACATCAGAACATTCTGGACAGCTGTTGGATAAAATTAAAGGTCAAGGTGATTTGACAAGAAGTGCATTTAGCAGTGTTTTAATGTCATGAGAGGCTAGTTGCCTGCAAGTTGTGCTGCAATGGTTGTATGTTGCCACACAATTGGAAATCTTTGGTGTTAAGGTAGCTAAAGGCATTGGACTTGGGACTTTCAATGGGACTGAACTTAGAAGTAGAATTAATGACATTCAACCGGATGTGTTTCCCGTAGTACCAACAACCACGGGACTCTTTGTTTAAAGTTGTATATGACAACATCATATAGATCAAAGATGAACATGGTATTTTGCTGAGTGGAGTGTTCACTTAAAACAATACATACAGTTGCATAACACACGCCTACCGGACTCTATGATGTTTGTCTCCACCTCAAAGACACCTCGAGCAAATAACACCGAATATACCAGGTAAAACAACCCATACTGAAATATCCAGTTAAATCCTTTGGGGTTACATTCTATATCTGGACTTCTAATCTATTTTTTTCAAATTGTCATTCAATAATTTTTACATTGATTTCGGCGAAATTGGGAGTGAGCGTCAACTGACAGTTATTACAACAAACGGTACCGTATAGACCCATGAGGTAAACTGAAGGCTTCTGATGGAAAGTTTAGAGGCTCAGATGACAAATGACCCAACGCAACATTGGGTTAGCTAAAGCATCACAATTGTTTATTTTGTGGCCAGAACAGTCAGAAACGCAATTAAGCTTTCCAAAGTCACAATTCTCACCATTATCACAATCTCAGACACATGCTACAGGATAGACCTGGCACGCGCTGAATTGTCTCCCCTGAGACCCCTTTTCACGATGCGCTCTCATTTTGTCGAAGATGTTGTTGGTTGCCTGGAATGTCAAGGATGTCGTGATCATGATGTTGTAGGAGTGCAGAAGAAAGGACTGATCTCACAGATTCTGAAAAAAAACACGTATATTTGTAATGTAGCAATTGTTTAGCCGATGTGTTCGTCAATGTTATGGTCGAATAGGTTCTTATTTCATATGTTTTCATCATATAGACGCAATAATACACAACGTTTACAACTGAGTGACGTCACTTGCCTTCCTAATCACTACTCATCCCCAAGGTGATCCTCCACAATAAGGTTTCTGTCACATCTGTATATTACCATGGCGATAATGATAACTAGATAAGGTCAAAGAAAATTAATAAACGCTCATAAACGTCGATGGTGCCATGTAGATATAGATGCTTGCATTTCCTACAAGCATAAAATCAATAAAGCGCCTGGCGTAATTGTAATCGCTTTGTGGAATCGCTCATTGAGTTCCGATAAAGTTGTAGTCATCAAAAGATTGTTAGGATATCTTTACTGGGGATCTGTAAAGTTTACATTCAATGTTCCCCCATTGACCGAAGACACAATTATTGAGTGTCTGTATTAAGTATAACCTGACTGCTGGAAAGTGACATTGATGATGTTACGTTCTCTATCGCTGAAGGGGTTGTCGCTACAGGTACAACTGTACGTTTCTGTATTTGGTTGGGGTATGGTTCTGTATCCATAACTGTATCTGGGGTACACATCTGTAGTACCCGTAACAACGACCAAAACACCTTCACTGTCGATGGGGGACTACTCGTCTTCGCCAGAGCCTTTTGTTTTGTTTTGGGCGGATGCAGCTTTTTGAGAAATGGGGTGCACAGTTCATTTTCACCCGTTTTCACGAGTGTTTTAATGGTCAATTAATAAACTCTCAGCACAAAAGGGGTGGGGTTGGAGTGGGGGTGGGAATTGTTGGGTTTGCATCCCTGCAAGCCCCCACCCCCGGGATCCGCCTATGTCCCGGTAATCGAAACTGCCGCTTGGGATGTTGCTGGTGTTACCGAGCTGCCAGTATGAAATAGTGAGTTGGGTTCATCCTGCATGTTACCGAGTTGCCAGTATGAAATAGTGAGTTGAGTTCATCCTGCAAGTTACCGAGTTGCCAGTATGAAATAGTGAGTTGAGTTCATCCTGCATGTTACCGAGTTGCCAGTATGAAATAGTGAGTTGAGTTCATCCTGCAAGTTACCGAGTTGCCAGTATTAAATAGTGAGTTGAGTTCATCCTGCATGTTACCGAGTTGCCAGTATGAAATAGTGAGTTGAGTTCATCCTGCAAGTTACCGAGTTGCCAGTATGAAATAGTGAGTTGAGTTCATCCTGCATGTTACCGAGTTGCCAGTATGAATAGTGAGTTGAGTTCATCCTGCATGTTACCGAGTTGCCAGTATGAAATAGTGAGTTGGGTTCATCCTGCATGTTACGAAGACATGACATTTGCATTATTATGCGTGGAGGAATATGTTAAGCACCGACCAACGTTATCGTGTCAGGTATTTGTCCAAGACGACACATGACACTCTCCAGTAAAAGTACCAATGTTGCACATATTGTGTGGTAAACGGAACCACGGACATCTCTAACGACGATATTCATACAATTGTTTACACAGGTGTCACTAATTGCTCGAGCCATTTGGAATTCATGACTAGAATCCAAAATTGCAAACGATGAAGGGAATTAGAAGGAAAGAAACTAGATTCGTGTTATATTCATTCTACATAAATACCTGTTTACGTAATATAACAAATGCGAATATATCAGGTAGGTTTTTGCAGGAGTAACACGTTTGCGTTCAACTGAAGCACGAGTAACGTACCAAAAACTTTAAATCAGGAAACTAGTCCATCATACTCTGACCCTAGGTCATCACCATGGAGTAGCCAATCACTATCCTGGAAATCGACCCCACACATATATTTGCAGTCAGTTTTCTCACATGGGATTCTCCTGTTTCGTGACGTCATTCCATGAGCCGTCAGTCACCAAGTTATGTTACCCAGCTGTCACAGACCACGTACTGGAGACAGTGTGTGGCATGTACCGAGCTACTGGGTGGTGGAGTACAGAAGGTAACAGACATAGGATTTAATATACAACACATAATGACACAGATGGCACGCAGCATTACACAGACAGACAGACAGACAACTAGGAGACTGGATAATAATATAAGTATCACCAGTATCTGATTCATAAAGACATGCTTGTGATATACTCGGAATCGTACAATGGATTCTGCTT